TTGCTTTCAACACTGCCACTATCACCAGCTGAAACGCATGATTCAACTGCATTTAAAACTGTCTCTTCATTTTAATGGCCTGAAATATTAAGATTTATTTGGCTGTTCATGTTCAGTCATGACTTTCGTTCATGTGACATCTCTATCTCTGGCTTGAGGAGCTTAAAGGGCCAAATTTATGGTATTTTCTGATCTATGTTATAATGTTTGACCTTGTGGAGATGTAGTCAGACTAATAATGAATGAAACAAAAGAAAAACTGAAACATTCTAACATAACTTAAAGCACACAAGAGTCAATTTTGCATAACATAGGAGGAAATATTATACTGTTCATTGGGTCTCCTTTATTTAAAATGTTGTTGTTGTTATTTCTTCTGTGATTTCACTCATGTTATATGTTCCATTGTACAATAATGTACATTATTAAATAAATACACAAAGACATTTAACACAAACTGAGGAGGGTTAGCAGGTAAAAAACAGTTAATGACAAAGACAGTATTTGTTTTACCTCTTTGATGTCCTCATGGAGTAAAAAGAATGAAAATGAAACTTGAAATGAAAATGAAATCGACAGAGGAGCAGAGCCAAATGCGCTAACTTGTTTATATATTCTAAAGATAAACTGTGTAACTTTTCTGGAGGTGGTTTCTAAAGATATTTTTTAAGATATTTGGAGACAAACATGTGGGGGATGTTTGTCTCCAAATATCTTAAAAAATATCTTTAGAAACATCCATTCTTACTGTGAGTTGGTATCCAAGCTGGAGCCACGTAGTGCCTCTGCTCAGTTTCATTTCTCTCCAGCGACTAGGTCAGGAATCAGAATACACTAGACGGTTTGCAAGAACCCTGGAAGTTGTAGACCATGCACCGGCCAATCAGCGAAGAGCTGAAGCCATGACGTCAAACTCAAGCTGTACCACAAAAGGGACCCAGACGTAGACGAAGCCATACATTCTGAATGTTGGGTGAGAATGTTTGGTGAATTTTATCAAGGGGAAAGATGTTATTGCCCTTCTTCCTACAGGATTTGGCGCATTACATACGCCACGACCAAATAGCAGCGATTGGTTAAAGAAAAAAATACACACCTACTGTCGAGCGAACTAATCCTAATGTTCAGGTCATGGTCACACGGTTTCACTTTGTAGAAACCATCTGAATCAGGCTAGTGAGTTTGGTCGCCTCTCTGCAAATCTGACCTGTTGGCTTGTAAGTCTCCATGAAGAGTCATATGTTTATGGCCATACTGTGGAACATTCTAAACACATCTCCATGGAAACAGGCAAGTGATGGACCCTTCAGCATACAAGTTACTCAGTGTACCTTTAAGCATGGAAGTACGAGCCATGTGCTTATGTTCTGAAGCTGCTGTTCTGTGAAAGATTTGAACACATTTTACAGTATTATAACTTGCTATTTTTAGAAAAGACCTTTTCATATCTGATAACAATTTTATTCTAACCTGTTTGTCAGATCTGTGGAGAGGTAATCACGTTCTCTCTAAGAATGCATGTTTTTCAAGGTCCTTTTTTCTGCAACAAAAACACCTGTACCCAAATAAAGAGATAGTTAAAAGATAGTTAAGTTTAATGCCTGACTGCGGAACTTCCCAAGCAAAGTAATAACATTTAGATGGAGACAAGCAGTTGGCTTAAAAGTTCCTTAGTGCACCTTTAAGCAGGGAATAGTTTCTAAAGTTTTGCCAATATATCCTAAATTAGCCTTTTACAGTGTCTTTAAGCACTGCTAATGGCGCCTCCGTGCTTCAGAAGTCATTTACAAGCGCTGTTAATTGCTGTTTAATTCAGCATTTCACCCAAGTTATTTAGTCCTAATCGATAACAGCACTGCCAGCACAAATCAAATGGTCTGGTGGGGCTGCTATGGTGACGAGGCTGTTTTTGAGACCTGTTTAAAATGTGTTGTTTATTCTGAAGTCTCAGGTCCCGGGAGCACTTCACTGAAATGCTGATTCTAAATGCCACGAGTCCTCAAAGTCCAAAGGAGATTTAATTTCACCGAATAAATCAAACGCTCCCAGAGTATGATTTCTAGGTTCACCATTTTCCAATCTTGTCACGTCTCAATATTTTAGCTTCAGATTGGCTAAATAATGCGATTGCTGTTTATGTTTCAGTTTCTGTGATTGAGTGCAGTATCTCATCCAGCTTTATTTATAGAGCACTTTATAGGTCCTTTATTACGCAAGCTTGCATTGTGAGCTTTAAACCATGTTAGAATGCTACCTCCTCAAAAATGAAATGAAACAAAATGCAGCTCCAGGTATTTTTGTCATGAGGAAGCAACATTTATAACATAGATCAGAAAATAGTGATATGGGCCCTTTAAAGAAGAGCTACTGTGTCTGATATAAAGTTAGAATCTATGACACCCATGCATCATTGTTATGATTTGGACATTTTAAATCACAATATAAATATAAAACGACTATTATTGAAACTACTGTTATTAAACTGTGGTGCCCAATGGGAACTGATGTCACTGTAAATGTCATCAAAAGAGCGGTGAAGTTGTCCTCCTGTGGACAGCTGCAGATCACGCTAGCGAATAGTGGTGTTACAACACAGCTCGTTGGGGTGAGAGAAGTAACAAAAAAAACCCAAGATGGATAATGGAATAAATTAAATAATGTATATATTTTAGTCTGTTTTGCTATTTTACCTTTTACGTCCCAGTTAATTGAACAAGAAAATAACCTAAACTAAGAAACAAAACAACAGAATTATACAGCTTTGTGCCATGTTACGACCCCAACATATTTAAAAAGGACACAGGCGTCAAAATATAGCTCTTTAATTTCTTTTTTTTATCGTTGGTTCTTAATTTATTGATTTATTTTTACGTTTTTAAAGAAATTTTAAAAACCCTCCCGTGCCCCCCAAAAATAATGAAAAGTAATAAACAGAAACGTGGACCTGGCGAGCCGGCCAAACAGAACAAAAAGGTGCGACACCGGGCCAACCCCGTAAAGGGCCGTAGAAGCCGGTGCCAGCACCTGTAACTAAAGACAAGAAAACGCACGGAGGCTGGAGCGCGCAAGGTGAGCGGAGCTGGGCGGAGCTAGGCGCACTGAGCGGAGGAGCAGAGAGAGAGCGCGCCATGGGCAACCAGCCGTATTTATAGGCTCCGCACAGCCACACAAAAATAAACCATAAACAAAAGCTATACCAAAAAGGACTAATTACACTTACTACAAAAGGAAACAAAAAACAACTAATAATCCGAATTAATGTGCCTGCGTGTAACATGTCACAAAACGGGTCACACAAAAACGAGGCTAAATTAAGGGACATGCACAAAACTAAAACACAAGTGCCCCAAAGTAAACCACATAAACTCAAAAACAGAATCAAGTGACCAAATTTAAAAAAGGCACAAAACAGAACTAAACTACAGAACTAGACATACATGAACACAAAATGGCAGACTCGTCACCAAGGCCAGCAGCCCCGAACAGGTGCTGGCAATTTCCTTAAATTGGGGGAGGAGGCTGGAGGGGAGGCAGGATTGGCAAGTGTAGAAGTGCCCCACCAATAACGGACCAGGGCCCCCACAGCAGGAATCAAGGGATGCCAGAAAAACAAATTAAAGCACACAAAACAAATTAAAACTGAAAGCATGGGGCAGTAACAAGTGGCAAATGGCATCTTGAAAATAAGTGATTGAAGATGACTCAAACATGCACGAATCACTCCAATTACAACTTTTTGTGAGTAAATGGTGAGGGGAAACATCTAAAACATGGTTCAAAGCTCTGAAAAGTCAATTTTGCATAATAGGTTTGCTTTAAATACAACACAGTCAAACATAGTGCATTACACAAATTCACACAGTTATATACATAAAGAAATATATTTGTAAATGTGCCATCTGTCAGACTTATTACGAAACATAGTCCCTTTGCAAGGTATGAAATTCCAGTATAAAAAAAGAATGGTTAGTAACAAAGTTTTCTGCAAAAATTACACCAAAATGTTTTAAAGGATCATGTGTTGAAATATTTTAATATGAATTCATTAAAAATGTGTCTCTAATTTAAGTTTTTGTTGTCTTTCCTAAAAAAATTGTGTCTTGAGAATATGATTTTGCTATGGTAATATTTTTCTTCTCAGTTTGTTTGTAATTCAAAGCAAGGCATCTTTATTCATAACATCTTTCATACAAAACTCCGTAGTCTCTGTGCTCTACAGTGAAAAAAACAAACAAGAACCACAGTATTAAGAATAAAATAGATAATACTAGTAACCATTTTGTATTTCTAACCCTAGGCCTGTCACGATAAACAACATATCCACTTAAATAGATCAAAGCTGGTAGATTATATTTTAAGACTCAATATATATCACATGTACATTTTATTTGCCATAGTGGGGAGGTTTTAGCTTTTTGTAATTTTGCATGTAATAAGGCAAGATTTGAGCTGTTGAGGGTTGATCAAGTGACTTCTCTCACTAATGGTTTATTCTGCTGTGGAACTTTTGCACCTCAGACTGATTCTGTATGTATTTAAAATAGTTTACTGTAATTGTCCTGCTTTATTGTGTCAGTGATTTCAGATTGACACATCGGGTTGATATTTGGATTTTTTTTTTTTTTTTTTTTTGTAGCTATTGGCCTTAAATCTCCAGTACATGCATATAGTTTATTTTGGTCAATCTGCTGCTTAAAAATGCACACAAAATTTTATTTTAACACTTGAACATGAAGAGAAAACAGCAAAAAAAAGGGACTGTAGGTGATTTTGTACTAAATTTAAATTGCATAATTTGAGAAAATAATAAAAATTGACCCACAAAATCTAGGCAGAGCTTATCAGCCATCGGTTGCACTGTATTCTAAATAATAGGTGTCAGCAACAGCCATAAAAATATCCATGTCACTCAATCTTTACTGATATTTATCTGTTGCAATATATCATGTTTCAAATGTGTTACTCTGACAGGCCTGGCTAACTCTTTCCTCTCTCCCCAGCTTTCTGCAGTGGGACATAAACTGGCTCCATCCCAGTTCACGTACAACCACACACAGTGTATCCTGTACGCTCTGGGAGTGGGCATGTCCACCAAAGACCCCGACTCTCTCAGGTAATATGAACGCGCACTTATTTATCACAGAAAACCCCCCTCGGGCTGCTCCAAAGCAAACAGTGTGAAATTGAACTGTAAGTGATGGTAATAGCTGTAGTTTTGCCTTGACCTGCACTGAGGGGATTAAACAATGGGGAGCTATCCAAGCTTACACGCAAAAGATCTGTGTAGCCATCTGTGCTGCTATTTTTACAAGACTTCATCTGGTTAGCCTCTTTATCAAAACTGGACTTTTTTAGTTCATGGGAGATTACGTTTCTGTGCAGGTTTTTGTATGAGAATCATCCAGAGTTTAGCTGTCTCCCGACATTTGGAGTCATCGTGTCCCAAGATGCACTGATGGGAGGAGGTTTGGTTTCAGTGCCTGGACTCAACATGGACCTAACACAGGTGAAAATCAAATATTACTCAAAATGATTAATTGCAGTTTGAACGCGCACAATTAACAAATCACAAAGGCTATAATCTTTGTTTGAAAATAATTTCCTGCTTGAAAACTGCTATCCGTAGAATTTAGATCTGTACAAACATGTTCTGAAATGTGATTCTTGTATCAGTTTGTCAGTTTATACTTTTGTCTTTTTGTCAATTCTTCTGGACGTGACCTTTGAACAGAATCCTATTATTAAAACAAATTGCAATTCTTACAAAAAGCCTAAATTAATTGGGATATTTTTCTCAAATCATGCACCATGTAATAGTTGTTCACAAATGCCAAATGTGTTGCATCTCAAATTAATTTGTTTATCTTTATGTACTATTATAATATAAGTGAACGTATATTTGTCCTACAATGTGAAAATTCCAACACAAAGTTCAATAACAAAGCATAGAAAGTCAAAACATAAGATAAATAACTATTAGATTTAATTTTGTCTATTTTAACTAGGATATTAGGAATAATTTTGAGTGAGTTAAGATACAAAAGTTATAAAGATAATAAAATACAACACTGTGCAGGAAAATATGAGATGCCAAATTGACTCCTGTGAGCATGTAGTGTTTTTGACAAGGATCACAATATTATAACACAGATCAGAAAATAGCTTAAATAGTCCCTTTAATGTAGAATGTGTAGGATTTTTCCTCAACGATTTTATGGACATGACTTGGACAGGACAATATTTTTCTGTGCTAATGTTGATATTGGTGGTATCTGTAATATTTTTTGCCTTTGTTCATGATTTATTTAGTCTAATTAAGGTGTAGTTATTAATTAATAAAGGCATATTTTATCTTAACTTTTCTTATTATAAAGTCTTACCCAAATGTGTGCTGTTCTGTTGGTCAGGTTTTACATGGAGAGCAGTACTTGGAGCTGTTGAAACCGCTCCCAACATCAGGTATTCTCTTTTTCTCTTAACTCTCAACGATTCATTCAGGTCTTTATGTTACAGCTGGGACCAGTCAAAGTTCAGTAGACACCAAATAATCTAATTAGATTCTCTTTTATGTCTCTGGGAAGCCATTTTAAAGTAGTAAAGTACAGTGTCTTAGGGGCAGGTGCACCTTTATGTAGCTTTACCTTAAGTAATAGGGTTTGTTTTGTGGTGAGTGGTTGCACACTTCAAGGGCCCACCTGCAGTTGTTTGTTCATTAGTTTTTGAGCACAGGAGAAGGTTTTGAAATTTTTAATTAAATGAACACTAAAAATGAATTTTAATTAAGTGAACACTAATCAAAATTAAAAGTGTTTACAGAGGAACTAGACACTCAATCTGTAATAGCATTATCTACCATTTTAATCCAAACTGGGTAAATATACTGCTTTCTCAGACTACGTTTCTGATGACGGTCTGAACAGAAGACGCAAATGTGGTGTCGCATCTTCACTTTTTATTTTGTGTTTAGACAAGCGTTTTTGGGAGGAAATCTGCGTGCATAAAGTGACGCAAAAGTGTGTGGAATTCAATTGGGTACTCATGTCAGGCGGCCAGGTGGTGACGCTAGGTGGTGATGTATGTGATTAAAACGCGTACGCGACGTGAGCAGATCTGACCAGAGTTTGGCATCTTGGGCAGTGTAGACAGAAATGCTACAGCGGAGCATATTCAACTTTTCCACTCTGGAGGGTGGTTTCAGATTTTTGCGTTTTTAAAGCCCCAGAAACACCTTCACCATCTAAACGAAACGGCACTTCCGATAAAATATTTTGTAATTTTTACCCGCAAGCGTTTTTATATAAACAGGATCTTAGTCAAACACCGACTACTGCCTTCAATGACATCTGCAGTTCCAAGTAGTTGGTGACATCACTAAAGACTGCCTTGATTATTGCCAGATTTTACTGATAATAATCACCTAGTGCAGAGGCAGAGTTTGAAGTGGTTACCTGTTAGACCAATCACACTGTTCCTTATACCCCCAGACCTGCCCCCTCCTACCCCCTCACTCCCCCTCACTCCCCCCTTTAGTCCTCTAGGCACTGCGCAGTTCAGCAGCTCTATTTAAAATGTGGTTTTGGGCAGAGTTGATGTGTTTAGTTCCACTTTAAACTTTTGTAAGCTTTTTGACTTCTGTGTAAATAGGTTTGGTGCATCCTGAGTCATAACACCTGAAACCACAATAATGCTTTGATCAGAAAGCACAGGACCTTTGTAGTTCTGGTGTTTAGAGATGCAAATTATTAGCCCTCAATATTAGGCCAATATGATTTTACCATTAACTCTTTTACAGGGACTTTGACCATTCACACAACTGTAGCTGATGTGTTGGACAAAGGATCTGGTGCTGTGATTCTGTTGGACGGTGAGTTTTCTGGCTGTGTAGTTGCTGTCATGGGAAAGACTCCATACCCTAAGATTAATAAAGGCCTATTTGTGAGTTTAACACTGTGGATGTGTGGTTAATTTCTTTCAACAACAGTAAATTGTTTTAAAGGCCCCCCCCTTTCAATTTTTAGAAAATGCTGAACCATAAGACACACTGTGGTATATTTCTCCCCTCTCTGCAGTAAATGCGTACAGTGGAGATGAACTCATTTGCTTCAACCAGTTTTCTGTCTTTGTGGTCGGAGCTGGAGGCTTTGGAGGAAAGAGGAGCTCGGATAAAGCCAAAGTAAGCCTAAACAGTAACATACAGATTGCTTAGAATTACACCGCTGTTAGAATTGCGCCTATATTATGGAAAACTTTCTGACATGGACGTTTAGTCATGTTATCATGTCGTTACCTCCTCAAAAACATACAAGGAGCTGTGTTGTTTCATTCATTACATGTGTTTGTCTACATCTCCAAAGCTCAAATGCTCTGTCCTACTTTGTAATGTCATGTAGTTGTAGTTTTCAAGTTAACAGCTACCTTTTACATTTAGTTCAGTAGAGATTGGAAAGTCCGTTCTAGTTAAGATGTATGGAGCTTAAAAACACAGTGGAGCACATCCTGTATTACCACATGACATGAGTGTTTTCAGATAGAGAGGAGAACCCAGCCTAAATATGCAGGATTTGTGTGTTTAAATATGTGTGAATGAAAGAAAACACAACTCCAGGTATATTTGTGATGAGGAAACAACAACAAAGATCAGAAGATTGTGTAATACGGGCTGTTAATCATTAGTGAATCGAAATTGCAATTTAAATAGGAAATCAGTGAATTGCTTTTTCTTTACAAAAAACAAATGATCACATCTCTCTAGGGTCTAATGTTCTATAAACCTGAAGTAGGGCTGCAGTATATGGTCCACTGATTTCAAAACTGATTAGATAAAGAGCAGTGGGCGGAGTTAGGAGGTAGGTGAAAACAGACATTTTCTCAACGCTCAAGCCTTGACTACAGGACAATCCAGGATTACTCAAACATGCAGGAGTCAATCAGCATACAACTCTGAGTTAACTAATGGTGAGGAAAGATTGTTATATCATGGTTAAAAATTAAGTGTTAGTAGTTCATATTTCAGTCCTGTTATTGCTCCTGGACATGTTTTATAATGCTATATAACTGTTAATCAAACAATAATTGGAAATCAAATCCCATGTTAGATGAAAATACAGTTGTTTATTTATGTAAATTCTCAAAGCCCTTTTGTTTATGCACTAGTTTGAATGTGTTTCTTTACCCTGTCCTCCTCAGCCCCTTGTGGATCCGCCCAAACGCGCTCCAGATGCTGTGATGATCGACTCCACCACCAGAGACCAAGTGAGTGTGTGTGTTTGTGTGGGTGTGTGTGCCCGCAGAATAACACACTGATAATATGTAGGTGGATGCTCTGGACAGTTGGTCTGCCGTCTGAACGCTCACGGCGAAAACATACTCAAATATTACAGATAAAATATTTAGCAGTATGTCTCATTTGGAGAGCTGACTCTTTGACACAGCAAATAGAAAACGACTTTAAAGCCCCACCGCCAACGTTTTAGCCAAAAAATAAACTAAAATACAAACATCATTCATGTTACTCTGAGCAGGCTTGTACCTCCACAAACCTGACTCATGTTTGGCTACGATCTTACACAGCATGGCATAAAATGTATCGATCTCCATGGAGAATGTTATCAATTATGGTTTTAATCAGAAAAAGAAACAATAAACAAAAACAAAACTGATTAATTACATCAGATTTGGTTGTTTACATTAAATTTCCATAACCTGAAAACTCCAGAAAATAGATTATGATCAGATTTTTGGTCTCCATGTAAACGTAACCCCTGTCAAGCCAAGAGAATGAACAACTGATACCGTGGCATCGCGCTGGGGACGTTCTACATGTATCTCTATGGTGGAATGTTCTGCTTAGGTGTTTGGTTTTCAACAAAAATGGTGAGTGTGAAAAACTAAAAAACTGTCCCATCTCACCTGTTGTAGTTTCAGTTAAATCAGCTCTTTCAGGTCAGATTGTGTTAAAACAAAACTCTGATAAAAGTCTAATTTGATTGACAGAGCTTCAGACAGAGCAGTACCTCTAGTTAGCATCAAACCCCAATATATTGTATAGGGTTTATAGTATGGGACTATAAACCCTATACAAAAAAAATGCATTGCAAAGAGTCTTTTAAGAGACATTCGAGAAGTGATCATCGTGTTTTACCTTCATAATATTTTAATGTGCTGTGAGTAATCTTATGAATTATCCATGTCTAAACAAAGCTTGTATCTCTGTGGACGTAGGCAGCCTTGTACCGTCTAAGTGGTGACTGGAACCCTCTTCACATAGACCCAAGTTTTGCTGCAATGGGAGGTGAGTCATTCTATCAAAAATCTTTTAAACCTACTGTATTTTTCCATCATGTAGTTTATTTGTTCTTGAAGGGGCTGTATGTGAGCCAGTGTTGATTTCGCAACCAATTTAATTTTGTTTTAGTTAGAAAAAAAAACCAAAAACACATATCAGCCGATCTTTAGTTTTAGTCTTTGGATGCGATCAGTTGCATAGACCACATTAATCCTAGACTAAAGGCAGATCGAAACCAGAACTAGACCAGAACCAAACCAGGACTAGAACAGGATCAATTAAAGTATATAAATCAGTAGGAATGTAACAGTAACTGAAATATTGTGATATCGTATCATCAAATTTCTCACAATAATATCGTGGACCATCACAATATATCGAATTACAAGTCTTATGGAGGGAACTACATAGACCATGATCCTTTGCTCCATTTCAGTGCAGACTACAAGAAGAAATAACAGTTCTAAACACGCACTTTTAAGTCTTAGTTCTTTAGATTAAGTCTTGTCAAGGCATTTTAAGAGGAAAAAATGGCATATTAACAGTTTTGTCCACAAAATATTAATCATTACATCCCTATAAATCAGGGCAGAACTGGGCTTAAACCAGGACCAAAATTGTGAACCCATCCTTATTTTAGTTAAGTTTTTGTCAATGAAATGTCATGCTATTTGAGTCAGCTATATCTATAATACATATAGTCAAAATTTTTATATTTTTAAAGGCCCTTGTAATCTGTAGTAGATCTGTTGTAGCTCCAAATAAGTCAGTTCTTTCTGGTCAGGTTGTGTTAAAAAAGCGCAGATTAAAGTCTAACTTCAGTAAGAGAGCTTCAGATAGAGCGGTGCCAACAGTTTGCATCACACCCAGGGAATGTTGATGTCCAGGGGCAAGACAAATTTTGCTCAAATGAAAAAAAAAAAAAATCTGTACAGGACTATTAAGATTATTATAGTTTACTGCCACATGTAAACTTTGAAAACCACTTCTTTCCTCCATCTATCTATTGGGAATTTTGTGTCAAATGATGTTTTGATCTTTTGTATATTTTATCGTGCGGTGCTGAAGTATGCTCTTTGGTCAGGTTTCAAGCAGCCCATTCTTCACGGTCTCTGCTCCTTCGGATTCGCGGCCAGACATGTCCTGAAGCAGTACGCCGACAATGACCCCACCAGATTTAAAGCCATCAAGGTGCGTATATTCATATGACCTCATCTTTTTCACAAACCGTGCGGTCAATAGTTGCTCCTTCGGGTTTCTTTTGAATTGAATTAAAAGCTTAGATGAGTCATGAGTCTATTAAATTTCTCCACACAAAAGGAAAAATGGAGGGTGATGCAAGTTCGAACAGAAATTCAGCCGCTTTCCTGGTGCAGTGTTTGTTTGTATTTAACATATGGCCACTTTGGATTTCATATATTTACATTTGAAAGATGTGGTCCAAAGTACGGTAGTCATTTTAGGTCAATAGTTGCAGTAGTGAGCGAGCTTAGCAGACCACATGCAGGAATAAGTAATAAAATAAATTTTAGATGTATTTTTGTTCTTTTTGAATAATATATTAACTGGTCTTCTGATGTGATGTAATAGTCCGCAAGAGACAGATTTTCATTTTGATCACATGGTATTTTTTTGATAAGAAATGCCCAAAAGGTAAAACCACAAATATTGAACGAAAACATTATTCAGAACCTATGCCCTTGAAATTGCAAAATTACAACAAAAATGTACAAAAAGCAATTTTGTCTTGCCTAGGCCCGTCATGATAATTACTATATCAACTTATTGTTCACTGCATGATGGATGGAACAATCATTTTTGGGAGTCTGTATTTACTGTGTGGACTTCTTCTTTGTGCTAGTGGGGATCTTTAATATTTTTCTGTTTCACAATTAGATTTGAGCTGAAGAAGGTTGAATAAATAACTTCTATGACTCATTATTGATACAAACTAAGTATTAAAGTGTTTCATTCTGCTATAGATTTAATGCAGTCTGTGTTTTTGAACCATATTTTACATTTAGAATATTTTTGGGGGCATATTTCTACTTAAGGGGTATTTTATCTGTTGCGTAAATTTGTTTCAGTATTATTGTTTATCGTTTATATTATATGTTTATCAGACTTCAAAATGTGTTATATTTGTGCCATCATTAGAAAGACACTGTGATACTGGTCAAAAAGTGTACAAGGTAAAGTGTAGGAATATCTAGTTTCAGTCTTTGCTCTGATATTGGTTGACATTGGCTCGATTAATTATAGATCAAATTAATCTTGTGATGTCTTCCAAAACAGTAGTAGTAGTAGCTTTTTTTATTTATTTAGACAGAAACTAACTCATTTAACTTTCATAATAAAAATGAGTTATTGAGGCTGAACAACTGAAATAAACTTGATAGAGTTTTAAAGGTTCTGTATTACACAAAATTGACTCTTGTGAGCTTTCAGCCATGTTAAAATGTTGTTTCTTCATTAAAAACATAACAGGAGTTGTGTTTTGTTTCATTCACACATGTTTGAGTAATCCTTTATTACAGGTCTGCCTACATCTCCAAAGCTCAAAATGCTGTGTTCCATCATCCATCTTTACCTTTAGTTCAGTAGATTGGCAATTCCAGGGCTGAAATAATTCAAATGATTCTAGTGAAAGTGTTTGGAGTTTTTGATGAGGAAACATCATTATAACATAGATCAGAAAATAGCGTAATATGGGCCCTTTAAATATTATTGCAGCCAAAACACTTTAGTACATACCGGAAGTAATTGCTTATTTATAAATATATTATAATCACAGTAGTTTATGTACAGCTGGTGCTCAGAGTCAGGACTAAACACAGGGAGTCAACGTTTCAGATTCATGCAGCTAAAACCTGGAACAGACTTCTTGAAGGCCTCTGTTTAAATCCAGGCTCAAAACAGTTCTGTTCAGCTGTGCACACAACTGAAAGGTTTTCATTCCACACTCTCTTCTGTTTTAATCTCTCTCTCTCTCTCTCTCTCGCTTTGATTTTATGATCATCATTTATGTTTTGCTTTGTATGTATTTTGATGTTAATGTATTTCTTATTCTGTAAAGCACTTATTACTTTGTGTACGAATTGTGCTGTACAAATAAACTTGCCTTGCCTAGCCTTATAGTGGCATCCATTCATAATTATGCCAATGAGCTGTAAGTAAGTATCAATAATATATGGCAATAAATTAAGCATCAATAAGTACTTTACAAATATCTAATATGCCTTTTACTACAAATTTGCCATGTGGTCCATAAATTTAAGTTTTAACACACTATTTAACATCCAATAACAGTCCATATTCTCGACAACACAAAATGGTGACTTTAAAACAAGATCTACAACCGAAGACTTCCTAACTGCACAAATATATACAACGCTTTCTGCATCATCTTGTCTTGTCTTGTCTTGTTGTTCAGGTGCGTTTTGTGAAACCAGTGCTGCCAGGACAGTCCCTCCAGACAGAGATGTGGAAAGAGGGAAACAGAATTCATCTCCAGTGCAAAGTTTGTATCTAAGAATCAGACAGTACGTTTATTAGTCTTTTTTTTTGTTGTCATTTTAAACCGCTTGATCTATCCTTTTTCAGGTGAAAGAGACTGATGCTGTGGTGCTCTCCGGGGCATATGTGGATTTACACCCAGCAAAAGACGAAGCACTGGAAAATCTCCCCAAAGTAACTAAAATGAAAATCTATTTCTGTAATGTAGTTTATTTGTTCACTAATTGAGTTGTATATGAGCCAATGTTGGGTTGGCAACCACTTTTAATTTGGCTTTAGACTTGGGATTCACTTGGCGTTCACTCGCAGACGCCACATTAAAAGTGGGAATAAACTGGGACTAGAGCAGGACTAGAGCAAGAAATAACAGAACTAGACTGGGACTAGACCGGGACTAGACCGGGACTAAAGTGGGAGGGACTAAAGTGGGAGGGACTAAAGCGGCAGTACAGTTCCAGTAAAGCGGCAGTGAATTTCGAGTAAAGCGCCAGTAAAACTCAAGTAAAGCTGGAGTAAAGCGGCAGTAACGCAGCAGTAAAGTTTGAGTAAATCTGCAGTAAAGGGGAAGTAAAGCTCAAATAAAGCGGGAGTAAAACTGCAGTAAAGCTCAAGTACAACTCAAATAAAGCGGCAGTAAAGCGGCAGTAAAGTTCGAGTAAAGCGCCAGTAAAGTTCGAGTAAAGCGCCACTAAAGTTCGAGTAAAGCGCCAGTAAAGCTCAAGTACAGCTCAAATAAAGCGGGAGTAAAGCAGCAGTAAAGTTCAAGTAAAGCAGCAGTAAAGTGGCAGTAAAGCTCAAGTAAAGCGGGAATAAAACAGCAGTAAAGCAGCAGTAAAGTCGGAGTAAAGTGGCAGTAAAGTTTGTGTAAAGTAGGAAGTAAAGCAGGAGCAGTACAGGATGAAAACGGGACCAAACTAAGTCTACATCAGGACTAAACTGGACACAAATCTATAATATATTAATTTAACCAAATGTATATTTTTAACAGCTTAAGAGTTATACAGTGCACTGATACATGTACAAACACTTGTTCCTTGGAGATCTGTAAAGATGTTCAACAAAATGACCACAGACTCAGAGTGTGTTGGTTATATTTTGTTTCAGACTGGGGGGCTGCAGAGCGAGCTGGTATTTACAGAGATTGGACGCAGGATTAAAGACATGGGCGCTGAGCTGGTCAAAAAGGTCAACGCCGTGTTTGGATGGGAGATCACCAAGGACGGACAGAATGCTGCGCAGTGGAGTAAGTGAAATGTTTACAGCAGGGGGAGTGGGAGGTATATTATGGCGTCCCCTCCTCATTATTGATCGTCAGTAAATCCGCCAATCATCTCATCCCTCGGCGTTAAGCATTGGCTGTGTAAATAAGTGGACTAAGCGAGTTTGACGTCACCCATAGCATTCAGCTCCAGGCAAATAAAGCTCATCAAGGCTTGCAGTTACAGTGACGAATTTGGAGTCCAGTTCCATATTTGGAATTTTGACCATGAGGAACCAAAGAGCCAATCTCAGGGAAAGAAGGCACCTGATTTCTCTGTTATTAGTGTTAGAGGTGTTCTTTCTGTGACACAGGGATCCGCTAATGGTGAGTCTGTTCTGTGCTTTGATCGCATTGGAGATGGTTCATGTTAAACTTTTCAGACATTATCCATCTGAAGGTCATACGCATAGACGGTATATATATGAATAGACATATATCCATGCCTTTTAGTTAGGGATGGGCATTTGATGAAATTGTATTAATCGATCGTCGGGAGAATTAACGATTTTCTATTAATCATTAACATTTTGATATAATAAGTATCATCATCATTATTACTATTACTAATCTGCATAAATAAACTCAACTTTTCAACATATAAACCATAACCATTCTAGAGCCACATCAGCCCGTTTGAGATTAGAATGTGTTTAATGCAGCTTTACGCAAGTCTCAAAGAAACTAAACTTAAAACCGCATGCCTAATTTCCATAAGCAGAGAAAAAAAAAACGCTGTTGTGCACTGATGCGGTTCAGCTTCTGTCGGACTAAAGGACTCGATCTCAGTGGAATATAGGTGTCTTTCTTTCTGTGACAGAGGGATGTTGATGCTGAAGGTGAGTCTGTTCTGTGTGTCATGATGTTTTCAAAGATTGTACGTGTGCAGGTTTGGCGCAGCGCTTTATGTTGCAGTAACCGGGATACTGCGTAAACATGCACCATGACGAAACTGGGACACTGAGTGGTACAGTGATCTCCAAGGAGGTGCCAGAGCCCAAACGTAGGACTGAGGCCACAGCTCCAGTGTTTGCGCTGTCAAACGCAGCTTCATATCTATGCACAGAAACCTACATTCGGTTGTCGATTAGAAATGAACGTATTCAACGAAATTCTTAATGATCAGTTATCGATTAGTCGACTAATCATGCCCATTCCTACTTCTAGTGTTGTGGCGGTGAATTACTTGGCGGCGCATAGACCTCGACGCAGATCCATTAATCAAAAACAACTGCGACAAGGCGATGGTGGAAGTGTGTGTTGAGTCGATGCAGAACTATACTTCGCTCTTAATTACTCAAATAAAAAATCTGAACTCGGCGATCAGTCGGCGGATAGTGGGCGGGTGCAAATGGATAGAGGACGGATGATGAGTTTTGTGATGCAGTTGCGGATGACAAAATAGCCCATCCGTGCATCTCTAGTGTTCATATCTTTTTTAATAGAAAGCGAATTGAAGCCAGACTCGATGTAGCCAGAATTACGCCTATGCTCACTTCCTATTTGGAAAGCGGCGACTCGCAGGTTAGCTCTGTCCATTTATACAGTCTGTGGTCTGTTGTCTTGTCTCGACCACGTCTTCGAATAGAGAAGAGACTCTTGGATGGACAGTCTATTAAAATGGAGATTGGCTCTTGACTTTGTGCCGTGCAGGTTCCCAGGATCTGTCTGTCAACACGCTTCTGTTTGTTTATAGTCTTCGCGAATCCCTCAGAGCACCTCACATGACCCCACTGGCTGCACTCGAAGTCCATTTATTTTAGAGCGATTTATTTACACTGGTCATAAAAGCGTTCATTTAAAAACACCAGCTGTAAGTGTTCAACTGAGAAATGACCGTGAACCTGATTGACATTTAACTAACAAGACGCTAAACTGAAGAGGAGGAGTGGAGGTGTTTATGACAGAATAACACCGGTCTGAATGAGTAGTGGTAGCAGAGAATACAAAAGCACCTGGTGTAGAAGCTTTCCCACAACGAGGAAATTTCAGTGTTGCAACAGAAATTAGGAGCAGAAGCAGACTAAAAACTTAAAGTGGGACTAAACACCTAAACTCCGCCCACAACCACATTTTAAACAGAGCTGCTAAACTTTTAAATGGCTGTGGAGAGGTTGGCTGCTTTTGTGGCTACCTGGATCACACGCATTTTGAAACTTTTTGTTTTTTGAGCAGTTTTTAACTTAATTTCATAGGATTTTAGCCAAGTAAGAAGTGAAGCATTTGCAGTTCAAAGGACATGAGTAAGGGACTGTTAAAAATATCTCCATGGACAAAAGTTACCAAAAACATTAAAGAAATGTTACGCTTAGGGTGACCAGATGTCCTTATTTACCCAGTACAGTCCCAGTTTTGAGCTGTGTGTCCCCTGTCCCAGTGGATTTATCCAAAACCAGTGATTTGTCCCAGTTTTATACAAGAAATGTCACTGCCAACAGTAAAGAGAGGCATAAATTGTCTACTTTTTAGTTTTAAGTGTTTGTTTAGGTATAATTACAGAAAACACAAAGAAAATGTGACTACTGATGCACTTATTATCTTGAATAAGTCATGAATGGGCCATGTGCATAACAATTTTCTGTAATTACGCACTCATTTCACAATTTTATTATTACCAACCATGACCACCCGGGGCTGTCCCAGTTTTTGATATTGAAAATCTGGTCACTCTAATTATGCTGCCCAAAGTTCTGTCACTCAGACGGGGGATTTTTCAATGGTGACAAAATGCACACACTAGCAAACACTGCCAAAAACTTTTTAGATTGTCTGAAAACTGAAGGAAAAAATACAAAATGGATTCAAACAACAACATTTTCAGGAGCCCGTGAGTAATACATGTGTTCAACAAAAAGGTGAGACTCGCTGAAAAACTGTTGGATAATGTAGCGAGATTGTGCCTAATGTTTTTTGAGAAGGTTTTGTTTAACAGCGCAAATTATCTCCTGTCGTATTTCTAACTAAACCTACTTTCAGACTGTAGCCTGAACGTGACCCAAATCGGATTTTTTCACCCCTATGCAACCTGTTTCAGATTTTTTTAATGACAGTCTGAATAACATAAATCAGATTTTTTTTTAAATGTGACCCAGGCCACTTGGATATGAGGTCCAAAAACTGATACATATCCGATCTTTTGACATGCGACTTCAGTCTGAATGGCCAGGTCGCATTCATCCCACCTACACGCTCACAAATGTACACAAACGTTCTTCTCGTCATATGAAAATTGTGTCTGAACTCTGTGTCAGTGAAGCAGCGAAGCTGAGCAGCGAAGCTGAGCAGCGCAATCCCACCACTCTTGGCTGTGATTCTGCGCTCACATGTTCCTTTCTACGGACGTTGCTGCCACTGTCCCACCAAAAGCCACGGCCAAAAACCTCGTCCTTCTCCTTTTCAATCTCTTCCTTAAAACACATAAGTTGTACATGTTCTGGCTCTGGTACAACAGCAACTTTAAAATCGCCAGGTGCTCAATGCTTGCGTCCATGTTTAGGCAACTTCCGTAAACACTGAGCATACCCGCTGTGTGTGACGTCGTCCTGTCCTCCAATGCACATGCGGGACACTTTTGGGGCATTTAAAGTTCACACTTGATCACATACAAGTCGCATTTAATTGGAAATGTGAACGACCTCGCAAAATAATCAGATTTCACAAGAAAATCCAAGCATTAAGCCCTGCAGTCTGAACATAGCCTTTGTCAGCTCTTTTTGACAGCTCTTTCTTTCTTCTTCAAAGTCTAACAAAGCCTCAGACAGAGCAGTGCCTCAGTTAGCATCGCACCCCCCACGGGAATGTATCCACATACAGTATATACAGCATGAATAACACATATATGGAGATCTTGCAGTGTTGTATTGTCTCGCACGCAGCCCGACAGTGGCCATGTTTCCTAAAATGCTCCTGACTTATTGTGTCTCTGCTCCTCTTGTGTCTGCAGCCATTGATCTGAAGAGCGGCAGTGGGTCGGTGCACAAAGGGCCCTACAGCGGAAAGGCCGACGTAACCTTCACTGTGTCCGACGAAGACTTCATGGAGGTGGTACAGGGCAAACTCAACCCCCAGAAGGTAATTGACAAATATCGATTCATTCATTCATTTAGCCGAACCCACAGAATGTCATAGTAAAATATGGACGCAGATGGGAAAAGGAAATCATTTTGAGCTCCCTCTCGGACAATTGATCATTGAAATAACATTTGGGAAAGTTGCTTGTTTTATTTTTATACATTTGCTGTTTAGTGTTAAAATACATCTTGGACATTTTAAAGGTCCTATAGTACGCAAAGTTGACTCTTGTGAGCTGTTTCAATATTGTATCTAATCAAAAACATACCTGGAGTTGTGTTTTGTTTCATTCACACATTTGAGTAATCCTTTTATTATTACTCTGTCTACATCTCAGAAGCTCAGAAAAAGAAAAAATCAGGTCCATGGCAACGGAGTGATTGAGCTGATTTTGAGACTTTTTATTTTTTTTGCTTGGTTTTTAACAGTCTGTCAGGGAATTTTGACCAACTAAGAAGTGCAGCATGTGCAGTTCAAAGGACACATTATGGACTGTTGGATTTTGTGAAATGAGCCGTTTGTTTTTCCCGTATTTATTTTATTTATTTACTTATTTAGTTTATTTATGAGACAGGGACATTGCACAATATACATTAACCTTAAAAGAAAAGATGCACTGTGTCAGATTGTAGCACTTTGAGGGAGTGAACACAAGGGACTGTCGGATTGCGTGAACTGAACTCTTTGTTTTTCTTGAATCCATGGAGACTGTGCAAGAGGCTGACTAAGTAGCTATGAACATTTGAGATGCTACAGACTTTTTACACCATATCTATCAACAAATCTGGCAGAAGACCTTCCAGAAGAAACACTTTGAGGGAATGGTCCATTTTATCACCAAGCGAAACACTAGACTGGCACCACCTAGTGCCTCTGCTCAATTTCATTTCTCTCCAGTGACTAGGTCAGGGATCAGAATACACTAGACAGTTTGCAAGAACCCTGGGAGTGAGAGTCCGGGCACCAGCCAATCAGCGAAGAGCCACACATTCTGTGTTGGCAACGATTCCCGAGTTCAAGGATTTAAAGCTGGAACAAAGAGAATGTCTGGTGAATTTTATCAAGGGGAAAAATGTTATTGCCCTTCTTCCTATGTGATTTGGGAAAGCTTAATAAACCTGTTAGCCCCGTTAGTGGCGCATTACATACATCACGACCAAACAGCAGCGATTGGTTAAATTTAAAAAAGTACCTGCCTACCATCGAGTGAATGAATCCTAATGCTGCGAGGTCAGATGGTTTCCACAAAGTGAAACCGGCTGAATCAGGCTAATGAAACACCAGAGTGGAGAACTGAATGAGGATAAGGATGAGAATTTGTTCATCTGGTGTCCCCTGGAGGCTGCTGTGATGCTGCAGGACACAGATGAGGAACACTTTAGGCTCTTCCTCTCCTCTCACCTGACCAGTCCTCCTGTTAAACTGCACTGAGACCTTTGACTGAGACACAAAGGCAAGACGTAGTGGAAATGAGAAATCAACCTGAATATGCAGGATTTGGGGTTAAACGTGTGAATAAAAACAAAAAACTAAACTAAAAACAACACAACTCCAGTTATGTTTTTGACGAGGAAACAACATTTTAACATCGATCAGAAAATAGTGCAATATGGGCCCTTTAATAGCAAAACGGGATGTGCAATCAGTGTAATTTAATCACTGTAATTATTGTTTAAAAATCTGTTATTATTTATTTATTTCAATCATAAAGTATAAAAAGACATCAACAGTGTCACAACATCAAACATCCAAGAAGTGTATGAAAAGGAACAGAAATGGTGAATGGTAAAATGATGTATTTAAAAAAAAAAAAAAAATCTATTAATTAAAATTACACAATGTAACATTTCTCGTGTTTTTTTTAGGGTTTTCTAGGGTTCTGCCACCTATATGTCTCCAAGGGATCTCCTTGCGTTTCCTGGAATGTTCCACAGTATGGCATTAATTGTGTCTGTCATTATGGGTGCGATTATTGCTCATAATTCGTGAAAAAAATGCATTGTAACTGTGGGCTGGGCTGCCTCTGGACAGATCTGACTTGTAACTTGACCTATTTGCATCATCTGCTCTTCTCCGTTAGGGTAGATGCGTTTAATATCGTACTGTGGAACATTCTAAGGCAAAGCAATAACATCTCCATGGAGACAATGAGACAAAAAAAAAAACATCCAAAAGTTAAAACGTGGTGAAATAATGTAATACGTTTGTGGTTTATGAAGAAATAAAATAGTTTCCACAGAGCCGATTAGCCCCAAGCACACTGTTAAATTTTTAATATTAATAGTTTTTTGGTCTGTATGGGAGAAACGAATATGAAATTTACTTCTGGAACCAATTGGTCGGCGGCATCTCTATTTCGACAAGAATTTGAATTGATAATAACCTTTACTTGTCAGATAAATAGAAAAGGGCCGGTTCAAAGGGCCTCAAAGGGCTCCTGATCAATGCCATCTCCTCATCCTTTTCACTGGGAGGAGTCTGGAGTTTACACGATTTATTCGCCGCCTGGAGACCCTCGTATCGATCAGGATCGTACGTGAGTGCTGACCGCGTATTCTCCCGCACACTGGGTAGATGGTCAGTTAAAATCAGATAACTAGAATAATCAGATAACCCCTTAGATCTGATTTGATAATAGGATTTTGATCAAACGTGCAGTCTAAGTGACAAAAAGACTGAAATATGAAGTGACAACTAATACAAGAAAATATTTGTACAGGTTTTTATGCGGATTTAAGACACCATGGAGACACGGGGAGGGCATCTGACACACAGGGATTTCAGAACATGATTGTACAGAGGAAACAACATTATAACATCGATCAGAAAATAGCATAATATAATAAAAATCAACTAAAAGTATGATTCAGACTGTCTTATCAGTACCAGGCGTTGATAGCCCGTTATAACCTGTAGCTGTTTCGTATTCTGCATCGTTCAGTGTTAAGAGCCACTGTGCTGTTTGGTGCACCTGTCACCATTTGACAGGTGCTACCAAATTAAGACAGATTATGCTCCAGGTGCTACTGGGAAGTCGTGTATCATTTTGTGGAGCAGGGACAAATTTAAAGTTTTTTTTGAACAAGTTGTGCACGTTTTTATTTCATCACGACTGGACTACTTGCCTACTGGAAAAAGGGATCACTGCCCCCTGACACCCCTGCTCGACTGTCTGAAGCAAAGACTGAGGTGATACTGTTTTTTGGCCAGCAGTACCCTCATGGATGTGGGACACCTCAAAATTGATGTTCGCCCCCACAGTCACCAAACTTGGCGTCATCTTAGACAGTGATTTTAAATTTGACCAGCAGATCAATGGCATTTTAAAGTCAAGTTTTTATCATTTGCGGCTTTTTTCCAAGTCAAACCTTTTTTATCTTTTAAACTTTTTGAACAAGTTACGCACGGTTTTAGTTCATCACACTTTTTCATCACACTTGGACGACTGTAACGCACTTTATTCCGGCATCTCACAAAATTCACTTTACCGACTACAGTTCATCCAAAATTCTACAGCACGACTTTTAACAGGAACAAAAAGAAGAGCACATTACCGCAATCCTTGCATCTTTGCTTTGGCTTCCTGTTAATTTTAGAGTTGATTTTAGATTTTGTTGTTTGTTTTTAAAGCTTTGAATGAACTGGCCCAAAGTGCCAGTTTATTTGTTTTTTTGGTTTTATTTAGTTATTGCTATGCTATGGTGTTATTTTTTACTGGTTTTATTGTTTTATGACTAGTATGATTAAATCTGTGCATTTATTTTTTCATTATATTATTATTGTTGTTATTATTATGCATTTGTCCAGCACTTTGGAAAGCATTTATGAAATGTGCTATATAAATAAAGTGGATTAGATTGGATTGAAAGTTCTAACAGGTTTTGTGGCGTTTACCAGTGTGATTTTTGTTTACTAGTTTATACTTACTCCATTGTAGCTATTGTTAATGAAATAACTAAGTGAGGACAAACTCACTGACTTAATGTTCATAAGATATAATTAAACATTTTTTCCGCAGTATGGCATTAAACGTTTATGACCATGAAGACAAGTAGATGCTGCCACTAGGCCCTGACAGGTCAGATCTCTGGGGAGGCGACTCCGCTCACAGTAACAATACATGTTTCTCAATGAATTTTCGGCAATAAAATGACCTTGTAATTTAATAAATGCCAAATTAGTTTAATGCCATACTGTGGGACACACCAGGCAAAGCAATAACATCACCATGGAGACAGGCAGAAGACACTTGTGGTAGGTGTAAGCTTACAAAGTACACCTTCTAAGTATTTCTAGGTACATTTGTGGAACCAGTACTACAGTACTACTCTTTATCATCTCACTAAAGCTCTGTAACTACTTACGTCCTACTAAGGTCATGAGTTGGGGTATTAAGTAGTTACCAAGGCTGAATGATTCTTGACTATTTGTTCATTAGTAAATTTTTGTTCATGTTTTATTAAGGATAATATGTTAATGTTTTGTGGCATTTTTATAAACTGAAATGTGTGTATTTGTTCCAGGCGTTCTTCTCGGGTAAACTGAAGATCAGAGGAAACATTATGCTCGGTCAGAAGCTTGAGGTCATCCTGAAGGACCACGCCAAGCTCTAAGGAGGAGCTCACACTGGTCCTGGATTGGTCCCGGATTGGTCCTGATGTAGACTAGCTTTGGTCCAATTCTAGTCCTGGTTTAGTCCTGGTTTAGTCCCGGTCTAGTCCCGCTTTATTCCCGAGTTCAGTCCCAGTTAATTCAACAGTTCTGATGTGTGAACGTGTCTGACCAAAACAAAATAAAAGAACTGACCATCTTCACCAACCAGGAGAGTTTAATAAGTTTTTTCAGTTGATGAATTTTTAACTATATATTTTCAGTCATCAGTCATCACCTAATTAAATATTAAGCATGTATATTTTCAAGCCCTCAAATTCAACAGTCAAAATTTAGAGTGTAAAATTCACAACAAAGATTTAAGATGCCAACAAGGCGCAAGTGATCGATTGGGAATGAGGAGGACAGAGACGCTGTTTCCTATTGGCCTTTCTCTTCTGTGGGCGGAGTTTATAGTTAAGAAATTGAAAAGAGATGATCAGGCCAATTCTGACAGATTTGTTCCCTACAGCATTTCCTGGCTGTTTGTAAGTTAAATCATTTTCACAGTGAATTTTACACTATTATGTAAACACACTGAAAATGTAAACAAAAAAATTCAGCAACTGAATATCCATGTTTTTTCAGAGGTAAAAATTTAAAAGTGAGAAATTCAGCAGCATTTAAAATTCAAAATGTGTTGAAACAAATGATCGTCCATACTGTTTTAATTGTACTGTTTGTGCGGCGTCTTTGAGCATTTAGAAAGTCACTATATAAATCAAATGTTTTGGCCTGTTAAGGTGGGTACCAGTTTATAGTAACCACAAACGAGTACTGCAATTTACTGGTGAAATATTATGCCTCGCTCTGAACTTGAAAGACCTGTACCGTTTTTGAATGTCAAGTGAACCACTCCATCTCCTCTTTCAAACTATTACTGAACCATGACATAGAAATAACGGTGTAGTATACTCACAGGCAGTTGTTTCCCCTTTTTTCTTTTTACAATAGACTGTATGGCGTAAAAGGCATTTTCCTGACCTACAAAAAATGTCAAATATATTTCCATTACCTGGTCCCGTCCTCTGTGACAAGAATTGTGTGTTGTTTATAATAAAGCTACAACTAAACTTGCTCTTTCAAATAATTAACTTTAATTACCAAATAATGCTTCAGTGTTAAGTAGCTGGTTTAAAGCCAGGTACTTACAACTACAGTTTTGTGCATTTTTTAAAAGCCGCTATGCCAAGAAATGAAATTGTGATCATTTTTGTAGTTAATAATGTAACATGTACAGTCTCTTCTCATATCTTTATGATAAATACAAATGAATATGAAAGTTTTCGCTATAAATAAACCTAATGATAATAAATGTGTCTCTCTGGACTTGAGTGCTTTATTTCATTCACTTTGGGGACAAGAACTAAACCTGCAAAAATATATACTGACGAGATAATCCCAGTGTTGCCAGGTTGGGTACTCTGGAACAAAGCTAATTTAAAATGTAGAGATGGTTCCTGGGAGTTCCTTACTGTATTCCTGTATGGAAATTTGTAAACTGCATTATGGGACAAAAGCAGTTGATAAATTTCCAAACAGGAATAACAGTAAGCCTCGACTTTCAGTGGCTTTTGTGACTATTTTTACTCAGATAACTGGTCCGGTCAGATCAGCAATGAGATTATAGGTTTAACTGGATTTGATTTCTGGACATTTAAGATTATATAAATGACAAGAAACCGCTCAAAGGGACCATGATCAAAAAGAAATAAGATAATTTTGCTGACTACATGCCATTTTAAAAGTGCCCATATTACTCTATTTTGTGATCTCTTTTATGTTTCCTCACCAAAATCATACCTGGAGATGTGTTTTGTTTTGTTCACATGTTTAACACATTAACCCTGCATTTTTAGACTAGTGGTTTTCTCTCAAACACTCTGTTCCACTTTGTGATGTCATGTGGTAATACAGGAAGTTCTGGACTGTTTTTAAACATCATACACCGTCACCAGAATAATTTGGATAATTTCAGATCTTGCCAGTTTTTATGGAACTAAACATTTTGAGCTTTGGAGATGTAGACAAAGCTCAAAATGTAGGGTTACTCAAACATGTAAATGAAACAAAACACCACCCCAAGTATCCTCAAAAGTCTCACAATAATATCATAGGCTGTCACAATATATTGAATTACAAGGTTGTTTGTTTGTTTGCTTGTTAAATACATTGTTTTAAAGTAGTAACAGCTTATAAACAGGGAACTACATATCCCAGGATTCACTTCAGTGCAAACCACATGAAGAAATATGTTTTTTTTTCTTGAATTTTTGGGATTATGACAGAAACACAAAAATCTTGTCAAGGTATTTTAAAAGCAAGAGTGTCCTTTCTACAGTTATATGAGCCTCTCTAAAATATCACAATAAATATCGTACCATGAGATGCATATCGTGATATCTTACTGAGAGATTTGGATATCCTTACATCCCAAGAGTGCACACAAGAGCAGTGGAAGAAATCTGAAATCCTCACATAAGATTCTGTTTTTGTTTAAACTTGGTGTTGTGGGAATAATTCAAGCAGGTTTTATCAGTTAATAGTTTATTACATTTGTACATGGACTTTATACAATAGATCATTTTACACAAGATCTGAATTATAAAATTAGATTTCACATTTGCAAGAAAAATCTCATCAATTTGGTTCGGAGATTAAGTCGAGTCCGTGAACAGAACTCGCCCAAACAGCTACACACTAAAAGCATTTTGAGAAAACTACTTCCATAAAATGTCTGTATCACGTCTCCTTTGGAGTTATAATAAACGCAATAGTTAAAATGATTTCCAGTTTCTGCAGGTGTGATAAAAACAAAAGCAAAGTGATTCAAGCTCAGATCCTCCAGGAGAAAGTTGAGAAGAAATTGGCAACAAAGAAAAGGCAAAAATGCACTGTGATAAGTTATGTCCTATATTTCTTAAATACATCTGTACAAAGAGATTCTTCATATTGGATGGATTAATTACATTTGGAAACACTCAATTTTACACTTGTCCTAATACACTGTAATTACCTGTTTAAATGTACCTGTATTAAGATATTGGTAACACTTTAGCTGTTCATATGAGGTCACTAATCTAGTTAATAGTAAAATGCATAATAAGTGCTTAATTCCATCTTTGTTCATCTTTATAAAGTAGTTTCATTGCATTTTCTCTAAGGCCGTATTTTGCAATTACTAACCCATTAAATATTTTCTTTCCATTACAGCAGTGGAGATTACAGTAGATGTTTTGTGCAGTCACTGAAATCTTAATAGGCATTAATAAACATTTGATTAATACCACCTAATAGCTAAGTAACAGCTAATAAGCACCAATTACCACTTAGTTAGTCATTAATATGTGGTCCCTAAACTAAAGTGTTACCAAGATATTTTCTGATCTACATTATAATGCAGTTTCTTCTTCAAAAACACTTTCATTCACGCATATTTAACACACAAATCCTGCATTTCTAGACTGTGTTTCTAGAGTTCTTATCAGTCTAACTCAGGGGTGGGCAAACTTTTTGACTCGTGGGCCACAAAGGGTTCTAAAATTTGACAGACCAGGAGCAGATGGATGGAGTTTTTTGGTAATCCACCTCATTAGAGAAAAAAATAACAATTGATATGTAGAAAATATATCCCATGTTATTGAAATATCCCATAATTGAAAATCATTACAACAAAATATCTGTCTTTCAAGTCCCACGGTATTTACTATTAACTGAAAACACTGAAAATTATGATTATTATTCAAGTTTGGTGGGCCAGATTAAAAAAGATTCAAGGGCTCCATACAACTCCATACACCTTCACTACAATTCATTCATCTCATTTGGATTATTTTAGCCCTGGAACTGCCAATCTCTACTAAACAAATGGTAAAAAATCGAGGTTAACTTTTTAAAATTACCATTTCATGAGCATTTTGAGCTTTGGAGATGTAGACAGACTAATAATAAACACTCAAACATGCGTGAATGAAACAAAACAACATCTCCAGGTCTGTTTTTAACAAAGAAACGACAGAAAATATCATAATATGAGCTCTATAATCAGGTATAGTACAATGTTTTAGTAGTGTAGTGTAAAATAAGGTGAGCCCCAAATTTTTATAGTTAGAATAATAATGCAGCTATAGAAAGTGAAGTTTATGGATCTGTCTACACTTAACTGCCGTTTATCAGCTTCATAAAATCGCCGCGTCGTCCTCCCTGAATTTAAACTAACTATAAAACAAAGTCCTAAGTCTTTCTCAACAACATCTCAACATTATACGGGCAGTTGGCAGTTAGCGTCGCAAAATAGCAAACTTTTATAATTTATCTTTAGCATCATTACACCACCTGCTGCATCTGCGTACGAGCGCTTTCGAAATAAAACGACAAATAAGGAAGGCAAATTAAACTTTTCAAGGCGGTTTGAAAAAAAAAATGGTCCTTGAATTAAAGCAATAAAAAGTGCCACGTTGTTTTTGCGCAAATAAAAACTCACAAAAATTAAAACACTGCCATTGTTCGAAGCAAAAAAAAATAAATCTGCTACATTTTCTAAGCACAAAAATCCACCTAGTAGTTTTACACATTGCTTTTTAAAATTAAAGCCAGCCTGTGCAACTAGTTAACCTTAGAGAAACCACTATACTGTGCAGTAATAGAAGTAATTTAAGGAGTAAGGACACTTATCATATTATTTACGGGTACCATATAGGCAGAATTAACACATATTTACTACTACTGTATAGATATATATATACTAATCTGAATACCAAATACTTAGCCTACCTGTAGTACGTATTTTTTTTTAATCTATGTGCAAATATAGAGACATGGCGCATCTAGAATCGTATCAGCAAAACTAGATGTGTTATTTGAAGACGTAAAAATCAACACATCGAATAGCCTAAAAGCTAATATATAAAATGGCTCTATAGTTTTCAGTTTTGATCGTTACAAAAAGTGGTCCTCCGCTGGCTAATTAGTCCCGGAGCACCAGAATGGGACAGTTGTTTGAACAGATACGATGTGCGTCGTACTCCGAACTTACTACTTTGTATTAGTAGGTTGCGTTCACGGCATTTGGAAATTTGATAATCATTTCAGACGAACGATTCACGATTTACGCAAGAAATAACCAAACTGAGATGCATTTTGTTAGGAATTTGGTTCACAAAATTTGCCATATTAATTTCAGTGTGCAACTTTTCTGATCAGGGTTCGCTCCCTGCTCTGAGGAGATGTTATTGCTTTGCTTGGAATGTTCCGTAGTATGGCATTAAACTAATCTAGCTTGGATTTATTCTATTACTTACGTTGTCGTCCAAAAAAATAACCCAAAAAAACGCATTTGTACAGAGAACGGATCTGACCCAGCATCACATCACATTGTACATTTAAAGCCATACTGTGAAACATTCTAGACAAATAACATCACCATGGAGACAAGCATAAAAGAGAAGACGCTGACGTTTAAGATAGTTTTTGTTTCATGAGGATAGGACTAGTAAGTGCAGAGATATTAACCATAAACCAGGTCGAAACTTTTTAATTTTTGACACTTAAAACGCAAAATTAACCCTCGAATTAACTCTGAACCCTGAAGCTTTTTAATTAATCTCAAAAACGTTATGTCCCGTGAACGCAACCTACAGCGAGTGGTGCGAGCGAGAGGTTTTGTTTTAGGGTTTCTTTCAACACTGCAAAAAAGGGGGAAGTGATGGAGGAGAGCTGTACCCAAGACAACGGTAGTTTAGTTTTTCACGTGTTACTATTGCATGTGCAAAAAGGCAGTCTTCTTCTTCAATAGATTTCTGTGCTCTTCGTCCGTACCCTGTGACGCCTCGGTCAAAAACGAGAATGACGGAGGTTTCAGTTTCACATTACTGCAAAAGTCAAAGTCTGTGTACACTGTAAAAAAGGAATATATGGCGTTAAAATGACTTGTATTCAAAATATAATCTGTACTTTTATGAGTACTTTGTCTTTGAATTAATTATAAGAGAGATTACTGAACCTTTTCCATGACATTTCTGTTTGGAATCAAGATCTTTTTGTTATTTTGTTAATATTAAATACATCTGTCAATAGGGTAAACTACATCAGTGAGGGGAACTGGTTAAAAAGTTCAACCACCAACCCAAAAATGTAGTACTGTGTCATTGAGCAAGACGCTTCACTCATGTACGAATGTTTTTTTGTGAGTGAATTAAGTTTGAGATCGTTGTTGGAGGGGTTGATGGTGCAGACTCGCTTCTGTCAGTCTAACCCAGAGCAAATGTGACTTCAGAAGTACAAAATAGTACTTTGAGTATCTTTAAAGGTGTTATATTCTTACCCCATTGTAGGGTTGTAAAAAAACGGTACCTAGAAGCAAATTAAAACTAAAAGTAGAATCAAAAATACATTCTCAATTGAGTGCAAAACCATACAAACATTATTTTGTGTTGAAAACATTAACATTATATTGTCTTAAAACTTAATATTCAGTACTCTATACCGAGTGACTGCAGTACCCCATTAGCAGATACTTTTGATTTTAAACAAACTAAATGTATCAAAACAAGCTTAATACAATTAACAAGGTCGATCTAAACTAGTCAAAACTACTCAGAGCATTAATATTAAGAATTCAAGTCATTTCAATGCATCTAGAGAATCTTTTTGACAGTGTATCTTGTGTCTTTAGTCTCTCTTCATCATTGCAGTGTCCAAAAATGTGCACTATAGCTTAAATGATATACTTGACGTCACTCTTGAGGTTGCAGTGGTTATTGTTGATGACGTTGAAGCGGTTGGGGAGGAGCCTAAGCTTCATGGTCCCGTCGGCGCCGCAGGAGAAGATGTGATTGGCCGGTCCCACCTCGATCTGCATGACCCCCGTTCCGAGGTTACGGAAGAGGGATTGGCGCGCGTGTTCATTTGGGAAGGTGTAGAGCAGCGTCTGTGTGCTCAGACTCCACACCTGAGGACAAAACAGAATACAAAGAGAATTAGGCCTGTCTCGATAACAACTATTCGACTTTTTAGAGTTTTTAACCATGTCATAGTTGTATTTGGAGTGATTTGTGCACGTTTGAGTCATCTTTCATTTTCAAGATGCCATATTGCCGATCAACCCGTTTTCACTGGCTTACACGCACTGCTCTGTACTTAATTTGTTCTCCAATTTTACTTTTTTAATTGGTGACACACGTAGGATCCGGCAGCGTTGTGTAGTCATTTTGGTACAAATGAAAAAATCTGTTGCTCACTAGCGTGAGCACTGGTCACCAGTTTTCAGTTTTCAGTGTTCAGTTTTCTTTTAGATCAATATTGTGATTTAAATGTGCAAATTATAACAATGATTCATGGGTGTCATAGATTTATAGCTATACAGCAGACACAAGCACAATCCATCTTCTTTAATACAGTTGGAGTAACCTGCCAACTGTCTACAGCAGAATTGACAGACAGAGCCAATCAAATCTAAGTACTTTGCAGTGAAGGAGAGTGAGGGAAATTACAATAGGAAAAGTAGTAAGAGTAAAGCTACTTCAAAATAATATTACTCAAGTAGAAGTACAAAGTATTGGTCCAAGAAACGACTGAAGTAGACGTAAAAAGTATTTGGGAAAACTCCTCCAGTAAGAGTAACTTAAAGAGTAACTGTCGAGATGTAACATCTGATTTATGATTTTAAGTTCATGTAATTTGAAGGCTCATGACCAAACCTATACCTATGGTCATGAGCTTTGGTTAATGACCAAAAGGACAAGGTCGCGGATATAAGCAGCTGAAATGAGTTTCCTCTGCAGGGTGGCTGGGCGCTCGCTTAGAGATAGGGTGAGGAGCTCAGCCACACGGGAGGAGCTCGGAGGAGAGCCACTGTTCCTCCACATTGAGAGGAGCCAGTTGAGGTGGCTCAAGCATCTGTTCTGGATGCCTCCTGGGCGACTCGCTTGAGAGGTGTTCTGGGCATGTCCCACCGGAAGGAGGCCCCAAGGAAGACCCAGGACACACTGGAGGGTTTATGTCTCTGTGCTGGCCTGGGAACACCTTGGGGTACCCCCGGAAGAGCTGGACGAAGTGTCTGGGGTGAGAAAGTCTGGGAGTTCCTGCTTAGACTGCCCGCGACCCGACCCCAGATAAGCAGAAGAAAATGACTGGATGGATGGTAATTTGAAGGACAAAACATTAAATAGTGGGCAAAATCTGATGTTTTTTTTTTTCCACAAAAATTTGAAAAACTACATTATATCAGAAGGAGTGGTGCAAGAAACACAAATGCTCAAATAAATTTATATTGTCAACTTAAAGCTTTCGTCACTTGTAGACTTGCTCAAAATGGAAAGAAGAACCAAAGCTTTTACTCAAGTAAGAGTACTATTACTTCAATTAAAATATTACTCAAGTAGGAGTAAAGCTTTGCTGCTAGAAGAGAAAATAAAATTTCTTAAAAATAAAAAAAAACACAAGTAGATGTAACTGAGTACTACCCACCTGTGATAATGAGGCAAACAACGGCAGGGCAGTTTCAGCGGAGTTATTTAGCTCAGTGCATTATAAATCCTATTGTCTCAGACCAGTAGCATCAAATTGAACGTGATGTCTGGAGTTGAAAAGTCTTGATTAAAACACAGCGTCCAAATAATTACCTTTGAAACCTTTTTTCCCTTGTTAATATTGGGTATTGATTTTTTGACAATCCCAGGATCAAGTGGCACTGACAAAACCACCTCAAAACTTCTGCAAAGAACAAAATATTCTGTCTTTTTGGAGATTAGACTTCTACAAACATGTTCTGAAATGCATGTGATTCTCGTATTTACATAAATAGCTCATAATTCAGTGTTCTCTCAAATGGTAATATTCCTGGACACTTTTACAATGCACTGTGAACTGAATCCTACTTTTAAAGAAATAAATCACAGTACTTTTTTCCCAAAATAAAAATAATTTGTTGAACCTTTATTTTAGACCCTTACAAACAGGTTCTGAAATGCATGTGATGCTTCTATTAGTTGATCATATTTTAGTTTTCTCAAATGTTAAGGCGCCTGGAGTTGTTTAATGTGCTATCAGAATAGAATCCTACTATTATTATTTTTTAGATTCTTTACTTTTAATATTTAACTTAACAAAAAAGACAAATAAGAGACAAAAAATAAGAAAGAAATAAAGTAAAATAAAACAAAACCCTCTCACTCCCTGCCCTTCTCTCCACACTCTTGAACACAAAATTTTAACCGTCACTTACATCCAATCCAGCCAAAATGTCCAAAAAGAATTTGACTATTTAAACATTTATCACAAATCTAATCACACAATAACACAAATTTTTTTCCCCAAAATTGTGTAGCCATTTTGCAGTGGAATTTTTCACCAAACACAGTCCCACTGAAACTCTGCTGCCTGAATTCAAAGCAGACACTTTAGCCACAAATTAACCACCATGAAATAACATCAGGGACTGTTTCTTTGAGTTCGAGTTCGAGTTATGAAGTCATTTAAAAGGCACAAAAACAGGAAACAAACAGGAAATGTACAGGAAGCAGAGAGGGACCCGGAGTTCTGCAAGCTCATTGTTTGATTCTCATTCAGAGCTGTGCACATTATTATTTGATAAGACCTTTCTGTACACTGCAGCTAATCTCTCACTACCATACACCACTTTGAAAGCTCGTGAATGTGCCCTGGACCTGTGTTTGGGGTTTCTGTTGTACAATTATTGACTTGAATCGTTGCAAAATCCCTGCTTCATAAACAAGGTACAATGCTTTTTTTTTTTTTGATGTCCTGGAGTGACTGAATTGCATGATGATTTTGATAATGGATGATGATTTTAAAGGACACCTGTTATGCAGAATCAACTTTTCAGAGCTTTTAAATCATGTTATAGCTGTTCTCCCTTCTTATTTACCCTTTGGAAGTTGTATTAGGAGTGATTCATGCATGCTTGAGTAATCTTTGATCATTTATTTTCAATATGCCATATTGCCGATCATGCCCTGTGTACGCAGCCACCGGCATACACCCACTGTGACATACTGACTTCACTCTGCAGCTTCATTTTGTTCATCAGTGATATGTGTAACATTCAGCAGCGTAGTGTAGTTATTTCGGTACAAATGAAAACAAAAAATATCAGCTATGTGCCTTGGAAGGACACAGCTTTAATAAACCTAATATTTAGTTTCAAACGTGGTATCAGTGTTTCTTTTGAGTGTGTATCATTTTATTAAATCATCCTATCCCAATATATGAAGCAAAGCGGTTATGTCAGCTTGTTTGAGTGTAAAGTGCGTGCTGCCCTGAACTGACACAGCCTGTTTGCACTGATTCCAAAGGAGACATGAAATACTCGCCGTGTGTGTTGCACATACACAAACCTCTCGCTACTTTCCTTTAGGGCGGACGAGAAGCATATGTTAATCCACATCTCCACTTCAGACAGGGCAGAAGGGAAGTCACATAAAAACGCTTACTTTTTTTGTTTAGACAGCGCCTGGAATGGGTGTCTGCGCGGATGCTTGAGTGTCTGCAGAGGGCGGCTTTCTGTGGCGTGCGCGGTATGAATCATTTAACGATGAACCCCAACAAATCTGTAACATTGACTCTGTTCGTGATGATGTTTACAGCGAGGTCAGCTCCCATTGGGCACTGCATCTTTCTCAAGCGGCCGTCTGCGGACTATTTCTTTAGTCAAGTGGTTTTAAATGACTCTTGCGATTTAAAATGTGTAAATAGTAACATAATGATCCACAGGTGGCATACATTTTAACTATATAAACAAGCTCAAGCACAAAATCTGATCTTTAAGGTGCTGAGAGAACTGGGTGTGAATGATACAGAATTGTTATGATTGTCCAGTTATTGTAAAGACATTTTCTTTGTATGTTCGATTTTATGAACGAACATCTGATTAAGTTCAAAGTTCACATTTTAAACATTTAAAAAATTGTACAAAAAGACTAAAATACGAGCTGACCAACTAATACAGATTAGTACAGATCTAAACTACAGGGTTAGCACTTTTTATGCAGAATAAGACAGGATATTATGTTGTTTGAGGAGGAAATGATGGTGCTTTGAAAATTGCAGCCCATTCAAATTACAAATTCGATTTTGAGTGCAAATTAACTAAAAGTTCTAGGATTTAGTTTTATCAGCCACTACACCAGGTAGACACACTACACTAAAGCAAGAAAAAATTGATGGTCTGAATCTGTACAAGCTTTTCAGTTTTGTAATTTTTCAGAAAACACTACACTACACATTATTTTCCACATACTTTGACAGTACTCCCTATATCCAGGAAGTCAACTGAACAAAGCCTTAAAGCTATACAAGTCCATTACATATACATACATATTATTATTATGTACATAGCACTGCTGTGTACAAGAAGCTTACTAGAGATCTTCTACCAGTATGTGATGGCCAGCACCCTGTTCCTCACTCTGGTCTGCTACGGGTTTGGCACCAGTAAAAGGGACATGGATGGATTGAAAAACTGATCCGTAAAGTTCGTCATGTGATCGGCTGTGAGCTAGAGATATTTGTCAAAGTGAAGGAGGACACTGGACAAACTGCTCTCCATCATGGACACTCCTGCTCAAACACAGCACCAGACTATAGAGAGACAGATAATACTCCCTACAACAGTACAACGACTCACCCACTGCACCAGACTATAGAGGGACAGAGGAGCTCATTCTCCAACAGACTCCTACAGCTCAAACAGTGAGAGATACAGGACTACACTCATACCATACTACTCACCACTCACCCTTATGTAACAGATAATAGTCCTTACAACAATTATTATAATTATCACTACCATACCTTGATGTTTCCTTCAGAGGATCCACTGATGAAGCAGTCCTCGGTGGGGTCCAGGGCGAGCGCTTTGACCGGGGAGTCGTGGGCCTGGAAGCTCTGTCTCTGGTGTCGGTGGGAGAGCTCCAGGACACTGACCCAGCCCCTCCTCCCACCCGTGATGAGCAGCTGCTGCCGAGGGGCCATACACAGGACCGTCGCACCGGAGTCATGGCAACAGAACGCTATAGCAACACATGAAGAAGAGACAGACTGTAAGGCAAAGGAAATTTATCAAGATATGGGGTCCGCCGCCTATTCCGACATCCCTTCATTACGACATGCCTCTATTTAGACACTTTTTATTATTGCTATTCCAACATGTCATATTTGACGTCATATTTGACTAATGAAGCAAAAAGGGCCCATGCAGCCTCCGTTTTACATTACATTACATTTTACGGAAGGCTGGCCAATGCTCTTTTTAAAATGCATGTTTGTTTCATATGGTGATCAGGACATTTTCCTACTGTTTGATATCCTCTGTGGTCGAAGTATTCTCTGATCAAGCGCTTTGTAATGGCCCAAGAATCTTATGATATATGGAAACACAAAGTAAAATAGGCTATCACGTTAGTCGGAATAGCGGGACGCTTGAGAAATAATGCTTTTGCTGCTACTCCGACAATTAGACGTCAATATCTAAATAACGGCATGTCAAAATAGCAGCATGTAACCTCAAGATATTTTTCCGTATATTGTCCGATATCGATTTTCGGTCTTTTCAAAACAAACATGGCTTTTAGTATTGATGTTATGAACGCAAAAATACAAGCAAGAGAACGTTATAGCGACACATAAAGAGGAAGCGTAAGAAAATGTATCAAGATATTTTTCCTCATATTTGTCAGTCTCGATTTTCTATTTGATTTTTATTTAAGCAAACATGGCTTCAAGTATTAATTTTATGAACGCAACGATACAGGTGTTTAATCTATGCCGTTTAACACAAAAAAATAACAAAATTTTTTCTCCCAAGTCTGAACTCTGCTTCAAAACACATGCTTTTACTTGGATTGGGTGTTACTCTTCATTCGAAAATTCAACAAAAAACATAACAAAGACAAAAAGATATCACCTGTTGGAGTTTCAATTAAGTCAGTTCTTTCTGGTCTGTGCTAAAACAAAGCTCAGATTTAAGTCTAACAGAACTTCAAGCAGAGCAGTGCCTATGGTTAGCATCACATTGATTGATTAAGTACTAACTTACTGGGCCTATCCACAATAAACAAAAACCGGCACAAAGTTCAACATCTTCTGTGAGAATAAAGAAAATAAAAGTGCATTTATTTTATCACAATATTGTTGGAAACCGGTTCCATTATTCAACTGCAAAAGCGTGATTGTTGCCAGTTGAAAAAACTTGAAACCATAAGATTAATATTGCAGGATGGTGAACCCAATCCCAAACTAATAATAAGGTTCAATGTTTGTGGATTCTGGTTTTGGATATTTCTTTAAAAAAATAGTAACTCTCCCGTAGAGTTTCACTGGCCCTTGAATGAACACAACCTCTACAAATAAGACAGACTTTTAATCAGAGCCATTTAACAGAAAACATAGCACTTATTATTCCCCCAAAGTCTGAACTCTGCTCCAAACCAAATACTTTTACGGAGGATTGGCTGCGGGCCTCTTGATTAAAAAGCCCTAAGCTGATCACTGATGATTTGAAATGATTGGACCTCAATTTGATTAAAATTCAATCACATTTTTACAACAATTTTCAGTCAGGACTCATTTACTCAAATACTACGTTATAAGTTATCCAAAATACCCTCTGTACACTTCTTTGTGTGTAAGAAATTTAAACTTGTCTCTGTTTTTCAGATATATATGTCCCAAAATATTTTTCCATATGAATGACACAAACATTGGAGCGACAGTGGCTTGGTGGTTAGAGCAGTGGTTGAAGGTCGGAGGATCCCACTTGGACTAAATTCTGTTATTGTGTACTTATTTAAGAGTGAATGTGTGTGAATGAAAGCAATGGTCAGAGGGGCCAGTAGTGCAAATTGGCCCATCAGTGTGCCTCAGGACAGCTGTGGCTACAATACCAGCTGACCACCAGTGTGAAGTGAATGAATAATAACTACAGTGTGGCGCTCTGAGGGGCTTTGTCGAGCCTGTAAAGTGTATTACAAGTCTAAGGTATTATTGTTATTGCATACAAGTTTTTTTCTCATTCTCAGTATATGGACAGTCCTCACGTGAAAGCTCAGAACCTCCAGAATCTCACTAAACTGCAGAAGCTACACGAGCACTAATTCATGATTGATCTGAATGGGCTCTACCTAAACCCCAGAACCTTCAGCCAGTCCTTTTGGGTTTAAACCAACTGGATTTCAGCGCTGAAACTGGGAACTCAAATGGACTCTGGCTGGATAATTTCCTTGGGAACCAAAAGACCAGATTGTAGCATAAACAAATCAGTCTTCATGTCTAATGTTTTTTCCAATTAGGAATAAATCAGAATTACAATTGTACAATAAGAGCTAGTTTTAATTTGAACATGTTCAGATCAAAATCATACTTAGAGTTCCTTTAAGTTTAAACATTCAAACTCATTCTTAACATTCTGGGGTTTAGACGAATTTCACACCACTACAAGAAAATGATTACATCCCCTCTGAGCAATGTTTGTAATAGATCCTCACCATGTACGAGGCTGTTGGCGGGCGGGACCAGAGTGTCCCATACACACACATTCCTGTAGAGACAGAGGAGACAGAGGATTAACACATGAAGTCCTCTCTTTCACCTGTGAGCGGAGGCTGCAGTTCAGTGGAGCGGAGATGTCCAATTAGAAAAGACTGGCCTCAGGTGAACACAGAACAGTGTCTATGTAGGAATAAAGCTGGATATCATAGGATTCTAATGAGTCAGTACAATATACGGCTTAGCTGGCCGGTCAGAACTACACACTTTGACAAAACTTTACAAAAATTAGTGGATCTGCAGCCATATCCTGTATCCCAATTTCAGAGGGCATGATTGCCAGGCGGATTAACCAATTGAACCAGTTAAATCAACTCTTAATGGTCAGATTGTGTCAAAATGAAGCTGAAATTAAAGTCAACATGGGTAACAGAGCTTCTGACAGAGCAGTGCCTACAGTTAGCTTCCCACCCGCAGGAAATGTTGCTGACATCAGTTGCACAGAATAAATACCGTAAAGCAGCATTCTTCCCAAAAATGTGACTACAATTGAACATACTATTTTAGAAGTCTGCAGTAACAAAGCAGTATTATCAAATGACAGTGTGTGAGAATATAGATATAGTGTAGGAGTGTGTACCTGTTGTCTGTGGAAAGTCCAGCTGTAGCGATTAGCGACGAGGAGCTTACGAAGACAAAGTCGTTAGCTGTTTTGTTGTGGCATTGTAGAGTCTGGAGCAAAGAGAGAAAAATGTAGTTATGCTGGCAAGTTAAAATATATTTCGCAACATTTTCTATCTGTGTTCTTAGATATAAAGTACACAAGATGAAGTCATTTTACTAACAATTGGATTTTCCCACACAAAAACTGTTTATGTGATTGTACTACTTGTTTATGTTATGTCATTATCAAATCAGAAAGCAGAATGAGCTCCTCCTCACTTTGGGTTGCCAGATTCTCTGACTGTCACAGTTCATTTAACCGATCCAAACTTTCAATTTTATTTTGTCTTATTAAAAAGTAATAATAAAATGGATTTCAATATTGATTTCCAGAACATAAAAAAGACAGACTTTTAATCAGTCCAATTTTTTCCTCTTAAGTCTGAACTATGCTCAAAACCACATGTTTTTACTGGCAGAGGTTTGGCTCTGTACCTCCACATTAAAATTTAAAGGTCCTACATGACACAAATTGACTCTTGTGAGCTTTAAGCCATGTTACAGTGTTGTTACCTCATCAAAAACATACCTGGAGTTGTGTTTTGCTTCATTCACACATGTTTAAGTAATTTTTTATTCGTCTGTCTGCATCTCCAAAACTTAAAATGCTCCGTTCCACATTATGATATCACGAAGCTGTAGTTTTCGGATAAAATTTTACCTTTTCTTTAGTAGAGATCAGAAACTCCGAGGCGGAAATCATCCAAATAATTCTAGTGAAGCTGTATGGCGTTTAAGGAGCACTTCCTGTATTACCACATGACATCACAAGGTGGAACAAAGTGTTTTCAGTTTGAGAGAAGAACTCTAGAGCCTAAATATTCAGGCTTTTGTGTGTTAAACATGTGTGAATGAAACAAAACACAACTCCAGCTGTGTTTATGATGAGGAAACATTATAACATAAATCAGATCGGGGCCTTTAAATGTGATTAATTACACAGCCGTAATTTCACTTCAAATCCTCAGGGACTCTAAGATTTCATGTGCCCTCACTATATAACCGCTAATCACATCTACGTAAGATTCAACTGTGATTGTATTGGTGATTCAAAACCAGGAGAAGCTCATGTTAGGATCTATTATAGAAGGAAAAGTGACACTAACAGAAAGGAAAGATGAGCAAAGCAGATAGAATGGATGGAAAATGGAATGAATGGAAAAAACAAAATGAGTTTTAGTCAGAAAATATTGTAGAAAAACTATTTATTCACCAGATATGGCTTGGGCGCCGCTCCACTGGTGTTAGTTTGCCACAGGCTCAAACCGCCATCCGCATCCACAATACCAAACTGTAACAGAGAAGCAAATAGTCAGTCAGTTTAATAAAAGTAAAAGTTCTTATGAAACTATTGCGAAATCTAATGTTCTTTTGTATCCAAGTGAAATAACATATAGCGGCATCATTATTGAAGGACTAGACACTGAAAGCTGAACTACATCACTTTTCCAGTCCCTCTCTCCATGGAGATGTTATTGCTTTGACTGGAATGTTCCACAATATAATGGCATACAAGAAGTATCTAGCAAATACTCAAATACAAGTGCTTTTATTGTAACTTGAAACTAATGCCTGGTGATGTTTCTGCTTGTCTTTGTGGAGATAGGTGACATTAATGCCATACTGTGGAACATTCCAGACAGATCAATTATATTTCTGTAGAGACAGACAAGTGATGGTGTGGCATAATAATTGCATCACATAAGAAATAATACAATACTATTACATCTAAAGGCACAGTATGACGCTTTTCTGATGCTGATGGGGGGAGAGGTCTGTTTCCATGGAGATGCTATTGCTTTGCCTGGAATGCTTCACAGTATTGCACGAAAGTATTCAACCTTGCATCTAGTCAAGGTTTCATAGGCAATGTAGGTGTTTTTATTGCTCAAAAATGCCTTGGAAAAGCATGTCACTCCACAGATCTGACATTTGTGTGGTGACATTACCGGCTTGTGTGCATGGATGTAGACAAATTTACCGTATTTTCGGATTATAAGGCGCAATATCAATAATGTTGAATTCTCTTGTCCATTTTCATACATAAGGCGCACTGGATTATAAGACGCATTAAGCAAAACAAACGGATAACACTTGAGACTGATCCCTTAGCCCAGGCGTCCATGATCTATTGACAGATTGTGGCATAATTCGTCCGCAGTTGCCTCATTGTCTCGGTGAATGTGTATTATGAATGTGAATGTGAATGTGGGTGGATAATTTAAGTTTGTTTTTTATTTTCCAACAAGGAGGACTCAAATATACACTGAGTAATAATGTGTTTATTGCAACTTTGCGCACATTTGTTTACGTTTTACAGAAACAAAACTTAAAACCACATGGATGATTTGCATAAAATATAAGCGCAGAAAAAAATGATTTTGACAGATTTTTGAGCGCCGTGTATGACATAAATCATTTCGAGGTCAGTAAGCACAACCAAAATTAACTCATCAGGCACACCGGATTATAAGGTGCACTGTCAATTTTTGAGAAACTTAAAGTCCGAAAATGTCATACTATGAAACATTCCAGATGAAACAGGTCTAACTTTTACTTCAACCTTTGCCTCGTGGACATTTTTTTTTTTTTTTTTTTGCAATATCACATTATTATTGAACAGTTTAAAATACAATCCATCAAAATAGTCTGTGCTGGCCTGTATACCAACCTTGTTGCCTTGGTGACTAAAAGTTTCTATATGCTGTTTATTCAATTACAAGTGTCTTTATTGCTGAAAAATTCCTTGGAAAAACATTAGTTCTCATATTCTCGCCTCTCCATAGATCTGACATGTAACTTTGATGAAACTTAAACTTAAGTCTACATTACTTAGATGTGTTGAAAGTCATACTGAAAAACATAAACTTTTACTTCTTCAGATTTTTTTGTTGTTTTCATTGCAATATCACATTATAATTGATCAGTTTAAAATAAAAACTTCAATCCATCAGAATAGTCTGCGCTGGCCTGTATACAAACCTTGTTGCCTTGGTGACTGAATCGTATGCGAGTGACTCTGGAGTTTCCTGGACTCCGAAAGCAGATAATCTGTTGAGAATGACCCCACTCGAACATCCGCACGCTGCCATCTTGAGCACCAGTTAAATCTGAAAGAAAAACATGAAAACCACTTTACACACAAGTCTCTCGGAGCAGAGCGCAGCCTCGTCCCAACTCCCGGCATGGAGTTTTGGCTTTCTTGGCTCCCAAACTCCATCTGTTGTATAATTGATTGAGGACATGGTTTATTTCACACAGGCTTGGGCAGACCTTATTATAAACCCTTGGGCCCTTTTTCTACCCAAGTAGTTCTCTGCTCCCTCCTCACACTTCGGACTAGCACAAACACAAGCGAATAAGATTGTGTGTGCTCAGGCTTGCCTTAAAACATTGCAACATTAGAACAGGAAGGAACAACTAAACTCCAGAAATACAAATGACAGATTTAAGGGCCTATTTTTTGATCTATGTTACACTGTTATTTCATCATCAAAAACATACCTGGAGTTGTGTTTTGTTTCATTCGCACATGTTTAACACGCAAGCCCTGCATATTTAGGTTGAGTTCTTCTTACAAACTGAAAATGCTCTGTTCCACCTTGTGATGTCATGTGGTAATACAAGAAGTGCTCCACTGTGTTTCAGGGCCTGTTTACACAAGAACGCTTGCGGGTAAAAGCTACAGAATATTTTATCACAAGTGCCTTTCGTTTAGATGGTGACGGTGTTTTTGGAGCTCAAAAATGCAAAAATCTGAAAATCAGCCTCCAGAGTGGAAAAGTTGAATACGCTCCAATGTAGAGTTTCCATCTACACTGCCCAAGACACAAAACTCTGGTCAGATCTGCTCATGTCGTGTACGCGTTTACATCAGATACATCACCACCTAGCGTCACCATCTAGCCGCCTGGCATGCATACCCAATCGAATTCCACACACTTTTGCGTTATGATATGCACGTAGATTTCCTCCCAAAAACGCTTGTCTAAACGTGGAATAAAAAGTGAAGATGTGACACCACTTTTGTGTCTCCTGTTCAGACCGTCATCATATAAACGCAGCCTTAAATTCCATACGCTTTCACTAAAATCATCTGGACGATTTCAGCCCGGGTATTGCCAAACTCTACTAAACAAAATGTAAAAAGTCGTTGTGAACTTGAAAACTATCAGTACGCGACATCACAAGGGGGAAGAGAGCATTTTGAGGTTTGGAGACATAGACAAATAATAAAAAGATTATTCAAACATGTGTGAATCAAACAAAATGACTTTAAATCATGGGAGAAAGCTCCAAATAGGAATCTTTTGCACAGCATCCCCTCATTCACAGAGACATGCAAAACTGTCTTTTAACCATGTTATGATGGTTTCCCTTTATCATAAACATAAAGTGAATGATTTGTGCATGTTTGAATAATCTTGTATTGTTCTGCATTCAAGACTTGAGTGATAAGAAAGTTTCTGTTTTTGCGATTATAATTTTATTTCCTGATTGGAAATGGGCAGCAGATGTACAGAGGTAAACATTCCATAATTGTTATTTGGCAACCATAATGTACGCAAAGGCCCTGAGCGATACACACATGGAAACAAGCTTGTCTAATTTCCACAATAATTCTTGTTTGGCAAACGATAACACCTTTGTTTTATGAAATTAAGGTTTCAATTGGAAAAATATGTTTCTTGGTTGTAAATTATGCCAGTCTTTTTAGATATCCTGGTTCTGTTTCTCCCTCTTCATGTGTTATTCATGGGCTTCAGCTTCCTGTTTATAGACACCACACTGAGGACCTTATTACTGTGTTTGTTAATAGCTGTGGAAATGGTGCTCATTTTATCATGACCTTGAATTAGTCCCCTGGATAACCTTTTCAACTATTCTTTACAAACTGCCACTTGATTGGTGCAAAACTATAATCAGTACCTACCAGGTAACAATTAGAAAAAGATGAAAACCAGTCATATGCACCTAAGCGTCTAGGGTTTAAGGTAAGGTTGCACAATCCCCAAATGTAAATATAACACTTTAGCTGCTGTGTTCCAAATAGAAGTGAGCATAGTCTCGCTTCCGGCTCCGACTCTGGCTCCAATTCGCTTTGCATTTGAAAAAATGTGGCACCTCTCTCTGTAACTCCTGCTGTCATGCTCTTCATTTTAGTCTTAAAATGTTCGTATTAACCTGCTCTACATGATCCTGGTATTTTTATTTCGCTATTTTGTCTGTAATAATATGGAACTAGCTCTAAATTCACTCCTGTAACTGCTAGCCTCATGAGCTTCATTTGACTGGCACCGAATGCTAAGGGTAATGTCACACTCCCTTTCTCCACTTCTTTAAAACAATCTCTGCAACGTGCTATACATAAACTGTATAAACTGGATCACACTTACAGTAGGGCAGCGTGGGATGGGAGGCCATTCTTCTCACATTGTTGATGTTTCTTTTGATCATCTGGAGGCACAGGAGGAGATATGTGTGGTTATCATGTCAATCAAAAATGCTAATAAGAACTTTAAAGCTAAACAATTTTATAAACCTGACTCGAATCAAAAGCTGCTTAGATATTTCTATAAAAATACAACCTAGTAAGAGTTAAAGGTCCTATATAATGCAAAATGTATTATTGTGAGCTTTAAGCAATGTTATAATGTTGTTACCTCACCAAAAACATACCTGTAGTTGTGTTTTGTTTCATTCACACGTGCTTGAATAATCCTGAATAATGTTATTAGTTAGTCTACATATCCAAAGCTCAAAATGCTGTCATGAAGTGGTAGTTTTCAAGTTAACAGCTCCCTTTTATCATTTGTTTGGTAGAGATTGACAATTCCTGAAAATTACTGAAATTATCCAAATTATTCTAGTGAAGGTGTATGCGTAAAAACACAGTGGAGTACTTTCTGTGTTGAGTTGATAAGAGAAGAACTCAGCCTAAACATTGCAGGGTTTGTGTGTTAACCTTATGTGACTGAAACTAAACTAAACGCTGGGTTATGTTTTTGATGAAGAAACAACACTATAACACAGATCAGAAAATAGCTGTACCTTATTTTTACTGTGCTCCATAAAGGATAATTCAGATGTAGTTATTAAATTGTGTTACCAAGACTACGTTTGTGACAGGCATTTGATTTCACTTTAAACCACAACTAAAGCATCTTAGCCTTGAACATTTCTCTGACTGCCTGGTAAAATAATGAGAAGCCGAGTGCTTTTTACAGTTTCGATAGTGCATATGAAGAGCAAAGAAAAGGGACAGTTCCCATTTCAAACACATCAAATAACGAATTTCTCTACTCTTTCTCTTCTGTCAAAGCAGATTTTGAAGCTGTCTGCATTGATGAGTTTCAGTTCACATCACAATATCAAATATCTTTAGGTCTATGATAGTAAATACACATAGGCAGATTTTTGTTGTAATATAGAAAGCTCAAAAGCCAAGACAATGATACAAAATATTAAGGTTCGAATTAGGGATGGATGATTTGGTCAAAAAAAAAAAATCTAACTGTGATTTTTCTGACAAGCATTGCGATTGTGAATAGATTTACGATTAATAAATTGATAATAAGATTCTGTTCAAAAGGTCACATCCAGAAGAACTGACAAAAGACTAAAACTAAAACTCATACAAGAATCACATTTCAGAACATGACTGTACAGATGTAAACTACAGGGTTATCTGTTTTTATGCAGAATAAGAAAGCATATTGTGTTGTGTGCAGGAAGTTATGATATTTCAAAAACTGCAGCCTTTCTGATAAATGCAAATTGTGTCCATTCAAATTGTGTTTTCGATTTGACTTGTGATTCGTCTTGCACTCCTAGTTCCAATCCCTAAAAGATAATGGTAAGCCTCATCATTTGCAGATTTTCTGTTTGCATATTTCTTTCAGTTGTCCTTAGAGTTATATAGGCCCCTGCCCTCCATCTGAAATTATATTATCATGGGAAATCATGAACGCACAGATAGAACTGTGGTTCAGTCTTGGCTGAAAGAGTCAAACCTTTTCCATTTGCAGTGGGCTAGCTGAATAAGCAGCTGTAATGCTCAGGGCAAAATGAGCCTTAAGATAAAGATGAATAATTAATTAAAGTTATTTAAACAGCTTTGAGGCCTCAGCCCTGAGAGTAAATGAGGGCAAATGTTAAGAAACAACATACATTAAATATATAAAACAGAGTATACAAATATTTGTTTGGTTTAATCTCAGCATTAACCTAAATGCTTTGAAAAGCTGCAATTACCAAGGGACAGAAGCAGGACTTCATGTAACAGAACCTTCTTAGAGTAAAAGTGAACACTCTGTACATATCTTGGAACACATTTCTGTACAGTACAGTACTGGCATGATAACAGAATGGAGAAAGCAGGGGCTGCATTTGCTCACAACAACTTAGGCAATGTTGGGACTAAACCCAGAACTAAACATGGACTAAACCCAGACAAAAGCAAATCTATATTAAATGGTAAATGGTCACATTTTTATATAATGCTTTTCCACCTTCAAGGCACTCAAGGAACCACTCACTCATTAACAGTGTCGACTCTGTTAATGTCCACTTAATGACTCTAACAATTATGTTTTTATGTCAAGAGCGGGATTTGAACCGTCAACCTTCAGATCAGTGGAAAAACACTTAACTGCTTTCTCTGTGACACTCACCACAGCTGCCCCTCGTCCGGTCTGGACTCCTCCTAACCAGGGCATGTTTATGGGGGTCCCAGGGCTGCTGTGGGTGTACGGGGTGGTCCCATGTAGAGCAGCAAAGTCATCACGGGCATGGACCACCAGGAACTCATCTCCACCCACACTGAAAATAAAATACATTTCAAACATTAAACAAGACAGATAAGCAAATCTGTTTTCTGAAAACTCAAAATTATTTGAAGTAGTGGGTAGTAGTGCCTGACTTGCATTAACTTCTTTCTGAGTAATCATCATTACTCCTACTTAAAAGGTAATATGTAATTTTTCTCACTGAAGATCTGCTGCTCATTTCCATGGAGACACAAGCACAATGCATATCTTGCATTTAATTCATTATCCATGTTTATGTTGTTCAAGAAAGTTTCAAGCATACTGTGAGCAGGGTCGCCACTTCACAGATCTGACCTGTAACTTGGCCTGGTGTCGCTGCTCATCTCCATGGACCATCCAGAACTTGAACGCCATACAGTGGAACATTCCAGACAAAGCAATAACATACTTATGGAGAAGAGCAGGCGGTGGTCTCTTGACATTTAAGTACAAGTTTGCCACATACTTTTACTCTTAATTGAGTAATATTACCTTTCAGTGTTGGTACTTAAACTTATGATTTTTGTGTTGTCTTCCCACCCTCTGATTATTATGCAGCTCAACAAGAGAAAAAGATGAACAACTCTGAGTATATGCCACCTACACAAGCAGCCGAGCACCAATCGCATGTTTCACACCCACACTAGATTTAGCTGCAGTGGTGGAAAAGGTGAAAAGGTCAGATAGATGGAACCTGGGCTGAACTTTACTGAGTGAACAGCAAGTACAGACAGGGGTAGAAGATATTGACAAAAAATAAGATCTGTAATTTGTTATGTAATCCAGATGACAATATACAGATGATTACATTTCTACAGTGATGAGAATTCAGAAATGTGCTAAAAAGTGCTGAGGTTTAAGTTTGTCAAAATTGTCACTACTGAGATACTGCTACTAAAACTAGAACCCAAACTAAAGACTTTGTATTATTTATGCATTTTAACAACTAAGGATTAAACACAAGATAGCTAGCATTAGTCAACAGTTTTTCAGGTAGACTCACCTTTTTTGTTGAAAATCAAACACCTAAACAAGACCATTACTCATACTGAGCACAGGTTCCGAAAAATGTAGTTTAAATCATTTTAGTTTTTAGCTTTTCAGACAATCTAAGAGCAGATTTAAACCACAAAAACTATTCCAAATGTACATTATTATTTAAAAAAATCATGAGCTGCAATAGATAAATAGCAGAATGAAACACTTTATAGTGAGTCATAGAAATAATTTCAGCCTATTATGGTTTAAATCTCGTATAGCCAAACAATAACCAGAAATTTCCCAGTTATGCAAAGAAAAAGTACACGATTAATACAGACCCCCAAAAAATACTGTTCCAGCTTTCATACACTCAACAGTAAGTCAACACAGTAATTATCGTGACAGGCCTGTTGCACAGCTTTTCTTTCACAGCCGTCATACATGATATTCACATTTTTGTATGCATTTCTTAACTATTCCTCCCAACTCAAAGTGTACGGTGTATATATTTTGCAAACGCGCATGCTCAGTCTCTCACCTTTTGGCTTCAGCCTCATCATCATCGATCCACGTCAAGATTTGTGTTGCCAAGATGGATGACACATCGAGCTCTTGAATGTCATGGGTGGAGGCCATGACTAAACAGTTGCGGTTTGCCTGCGAGGAGGAGCGGTACAGGGAGTGAGGGAGGGGAATGTCAAAATAAGGCAAACAAAATATAGATTATGAAGTTTCCAAAGGTTCAAAGTGTACAAATATGACTAGAGAGATTTATGTCAAGTATCAGTCCACTCACTTTAGTGCAATTCTTGTTACTTTTCCTATAAATGACTCAAGATGTTGACATGCAAAATAATGAAAAAGTATACATTTTACTGCACCTAGAGCTAGCAATATTGGTAAAAATCTTAATGTTATTTTTTTTATTATTAATGCAATGACAACATTTAGATGATAGTGGAGGGTCCGTCAAATGCTTTTCTCCTCGGAGATCTTATTGCTTTGTCTAGAATGTTTCAAAGTATGGCATTAAACCTTTCAATCTTCATGGAGACCAATCAGACTAAGTTACATGTCAGGTCTGTGGAGAGGCGACTCGGCTGAAAGTCAGAATGCCCGCCCTTGGTATTTTTTAGCAGAAAACCACCATAATTTAATAAATGTAAGGTAGAGGCCTTTAATGTCATACTGTGGAACATTCCAGGCAGAGCAATGACATCTCCATAGGCCCTGTACGTGATTTTTTTCCCCATGTACACTACCAGTCAAAAGTTTTAGAGCACCACACATTTTCCAATTTTTTTTTTACTGTTTATGGTTGACCAAAAGGTATTCTAAACTTTTGATTCATGAAAGTGTCCACCTTCGGCAGATGTAACAGCTGAACACACTTGTGGCATTCTTTTTATAGACTAGAAATCAAATATTCTTCAGAAAGTTCTTCACAAGTCTGTTGCAGAAGTTCCCCTAAATGAGTGGCACTTGTAGGTTGCTTGGCTTTTACTCTTCTGTCCAGTTCATCCCAAAACCAGCTCGATGGGGTTTAAGTCTGGACACTGTGCTGGAAACTCCATGTTTTCAAGCTTACTAATTTGTTCTTTTTTCCTGAGGTAGTTTTGGCAGAGCTTGGACTTGTGTTTTGTTATCTTTTATCTTTTTTTTAACCTCTGGCTGTTCAGTTCTTACCTTTGTGCCATTTCAAGCACTTCATTGGACTTGCACGACTTGAATTGCAATAAAGAACTGGAAAAATTAGGGTGCTCTAAAACTTTTGACCGGTAGTGTATTTGTACAATAGGTGTCTTGCCTCATTACAGAAATATAGTATAAGCAGCTCTTGAAGTAAAAATATGTCCACTGTCTGCACCTAATTAGAAAGTGTTTTTACTGTCAGATAATCAGGAAGTGCTTGTTTGCATGCTAGTGCTCCACACTGGTCTCTAAGAGTTGTGAAAAGTGCTTATTAACTCGTAGTGTTGAATAATTAGAATGATCAGAATTCATAAGGGAAATGAGACACAACTTTGAACCACTGCAAACTGTTTAAAATCAACTAATCCTGTTTTTCACATTTTAAGACTAGGTACAGCGCCTTTAACGTCCTTATATGAAAGATTGCACAACACGTTTGTTTTATTAAAATTTCTGACCACTGATTAAATCGTCTCCACTCCTTTTATAGTCTTTCTGATTCATTTCTATTATAGATGCACTTTACATTTCAATTTACCTTATCACCATGACAACCATTGTACTAACCATTTTTCAACCTCTCCCCCACTTCTAAACTCACTGTAGGAAATTGTTAACAAAAATAGCTTGTGACTGTGCAGTTTCTAAAGTGGACAAATATGTGGAAAACTCAACTTGAAGTGTAAAACTTTTGGCTCACACTGATACCAAAGAATGCACAGTCTTTTGATGGCTGTAGCAAAAGTGAGCATGACTGTTGCCTTTAAAAGTACACTCGCCCAAAAAGAACCGTGGAGCCGACTCTATAACAGAAACTACAGGAGGTCTGCAGACATCAAAGAAGCAGGATATGGAACAACAGCTCTGACCTGAGCTGTTGCATAAGGCTTCAAAATATATTCTAAAAAACTGTAAATGCTTGCATAGCTGTGTTTCAGGTGGCATCACAACATTCAATAGTTGTATGATATTAAATTTAACGCTAGATAACTTGAGACTGTAATGTTATGTGTGAGAGACTTGATTAAGAGCATGAATCAGGGAATATTGATGACATCAGCTGCAAAGTATCAATCACAACGTGTTTATGTCCTGTATTAATAACCACTGTAAACTATTCTGTATGAATGACATTTGAATCATATTTACCTTGTTAATGGCAAAAGCAGTGATGATGTCTGACTCCTTGTGGATGATTCGTGCTTTCCCACCGGAGCTGGCCGAGTCTGACTCAGACTAAGAACAAACACAGTCATGAACAAATGCAGTTTTTCTTCAAATTTCTTGTATAAAAGTAAATGTTCTGAAGTAACTCTAACATACAGTAGGGTTATGTATGTGAAAGCATGTTCGCCTTAGTGATGTCACGCTGAGTGCACAGACCGGTGCTTAACAGGGTTAGACTGGGTTAGTGCCATTACAGTTCTATAGTTCTGAGCTATGGGCACACGCAGTACCACACAGCTCCTCTGGGACACACACGCAGAGTGCACATTGTATTTATGTTTCATTTGGACACCAAAGCCTCTTTAAATGAGACACACATCCTTTGAGATTAAATTAAAGTCTTCATTGCATTTATTCAAGGGGAAAAGACATGTCTTTTTCTGTCACAGAGAATAAAGTTAAATTTGACTTGCTTGAGTCTAAATATGGTGGTTTGCCATTTGCGCGAGCCCATAATCCCTGTAGAGCGCAGATTCACTGCGACAGTACTGGGCCCATTAATCACAAGCTATTCAGCTTCATAGCGCGTCCTCCGAGAGACTGGCTTAATTAACACTGAGCCAAATGGAGGAGCTACAATGTGGCAGCTCACACAGAGCCCCAAGATTAGAGAACTCCACCAAGCAAACATGTGCAGAACCATTAAGCATGCAAGCTTCAAGTACTCATCAATATTTAGACACTTCTATGTAAGATTAATATCAAACACAGTCAGGAACATGGAGGTTTCATAACCCCAGAAATTCACTCTGTTACAGTTCAGTGTCAACAACTCTCTGTAAAACTGTGGAGCTCCAACACTCTAAATCATGTGCTATATTTGTAAACCGCCAAAGACAATCACACAATGTCATCATAGTTTTGAATCTGAGAACATGCAATAAAGACAGATTGAAAAGTAGAGTATAATTTTTCAAACCAAAGAGACAATTGCAAATCTGAATCAACATTACCTGATTCCTTCCGTTTTCGTCCATTCCTGGACATTTCACTATGTCAGTTTGGTCCTCAATTGACTTTAATGATTGGGGAAACGCCACAAGGCAGAGGGAGACACACAAAACATTCAGCAACAACAGTGGTGAACCATGCAGTCAAACATACAAAATGGAAGTGCAGTTAATCAAAAATACAGCATTATTTTACATGAATCAAATCATATAGATATAATTAGAGGGTAGTACACAGCGGGCCATGCTAACATTGCACAAATGCATTATGGGAGATGTAATAGTAATATGGATGTAATTTAACTGGCAGTAATTACAGAGGTGTACAGGGGAATACTCACAACACTGGTTAATATGTAATTAAGTGGGAAGAGCCATTTAGAAAAGCAAATATGATCACTGATGCGGCTTACCTCATTTGGGTCCTGTTTTTTGGTGAAAATGTTTCTAATAAAAGTCTCTTGTACTTCTTCTTGTTTTACCAAAAACTGCCATAATCGTTTTACTGGTAGAGTTGAGTGATGACTTGATCTGGGAAAAGAAAATTTATATCATGTGTAATTCACCTTTAAATCTGAATTTAAAGGTGAGCTTTTCTGGTAGAAAGTCAGCCACCCGTTTATCTACATAGAAATGTAATTGCTTGTCTGGAATGTTCCACAGTGCAGCATTAAACAAATCTCGCTTTTATTCTATTACAGGTGTTTATATTACTAAAATACATTGAAAAGCATGCAATTTTACTGTGCACAAAGTCACCTCTCCGCAGATCTGACCTGTTACTTCACCATTAACATTACCTCTGCGTGTGCTCAGTTATAAACAGTACATGTATTGACAATTACAAAAAACATTTTATAGCATTTATGTTACGTTGACATGTTGTGATTTCAAGACAGGTGTCCAATCAGAAAACAGAATAAGCTCCTCACTTTGGGTTGCCAGATCCTACAATTGTTACTTTGCAAAAAATCTAGAAGGGCTCTATATGAAGTTATTTATCCTCATGATCGCTAATGGCATCCATGGTTTAGGTTGATTATATTGCCATTTATAAACCAGAGCGAGCCCATGTTGGATTTATAGATATCTATAATACCTGAATGGGGTGTTGGTGGGTTCAAACAGGGCCTTGTGTCTGAGAAGGGCGGGGCCAGGCGTTTCATCCAGGAGGTGAGTGGAGATGTATTTTGAAGGAGGTCCACCGAAGAGCTCCAGTCTCTTTTGCAACACCTGCTCCCATCGCTGTAGGGTTTTCAGCACAGCATGACACAGAGGAGAGGCCACAGGCAGGTCTGGGGACAATGGAAGAGACAAAATATGAATGATTCTGAATAGGCTATAAAATACATATAGAAAACAAGGGCTGGAGAATTTGCAATAACTTTTTAAATTTTCTGGTAGACTTTTCCACTCTCCTGGACAATAAACTTGCCTATCTTACATTGATTTAATTAAACATTTTTTAATTGTTAAAAAATCTTACAGTGTGTAAGACTGTATCTCCACAGATCTGACCAGTAACTTTGCCGTGCATGTCACTCGTTTGTCTCCATGGACATAGATATGTTTTATGCCTTGTAAAAAAACTTCACGGAAAGTAATAATATCACCATAGAAACAAGCAGGAGGCAGACCCTCCACCAGAAAAGTTACATAGTTTAAATTAAATTATTATTTTACTTACTCTCCATTTAATTTTAGCTCTCAATTTTGTATTTTTTACTATAACCTTTAGGAGCTTTATGGTTTATGTTTATGTTTAAATTTGTGTTATTTTTGCAGTTTATATTTCCACCTTTTTCAATTGTTGCTCCTGGTCATGTTTAAAATGCCCTTTGAGCAGAACACTAATAAAAACATTAAACACAATTGAACTGCTTACCAGAAAAATCTCAACAACACATTTTTTTTTGCTAAAGTTCCAAAAGGTCTATTTGCAGTTGTCTATGGAACTGGCTAATGAGACTTTTGTTGCTACTAAACTGTGTATATGGTGTTTAAATAGCATTGTCTACAGTTTCTAGTGTTTTTCTGGGCATTTTGTGATTTCAAGTACTATGTGACATCACTCAGGACTTCACTGCTTACATCCAGGTGTTTCTGATTACAAACACCTGGCTGAAGGGGTGGAGTCTGAAGTGTTGGACCAATCACACTGCTCCTCCTCTAACTCCCATTTAGTTGAAATGTGACTGTGAGTGGAGTTTAGGTGTTCAGTCTCACTTTAAATATGTGTCTATTGATTTGTTACCTAATAGATCATATCCGGCCATAGGATAAAAGGACTTGAGGTTGACCAGCACCAACTGAACCATGGCTAAACGCATTAGGCACCAACTGTGAAGGCAAAAAGGAATACACATTTATAACATTGACAGTAAAGACTCATTTTCTAATATTTAAATGGTTGTAAGTCCATGGGTCTGGTCATTACCTGTATGAATTATTGTTCGAGTGCTCTCTTTGTGGTGAGTTGGGGTCAAACACGTCTTCATAGTCTTCGTCATCTTCATCATCCTCACTGTCTACACTTGCCTCTGAGTCATAGTCAATGCGGTTTTCGGATGGAGGCAACGATGGCTAAAATACAATACAAACATAAAAATAAGTATCTACCATTATAGTAATAGGTAAGTGTGTTCATGTGACATAACATTTTCATTTTAGAGTCAATCATTTAAATTGAGGCGGAGGAAAGCTACAAAAAGCACAATGGTCAATGTCACCTTGGTCAATACAAATGAATACAAAAAGGCTTAGTAACTACTTAATTTAGTGGTAATAGTTGGGGAGATAGAGTTTGGGTATTAATTAAGTAGTTATTAAAGATACTATATTACACAAAATTGACTCTAGTGAGCTTTAAGACATGTTATAATGTTGTTACCTCATCAAAAACACACCTGCAGTTGTGTTTTGTTTCATTCACACATGTATGAGTAATCCTTTATTATTAGTCTGTCAATATCTCCAAAGCTCAAAATGCTCTTTTCCACCTTGTGATGTCATGAAGCAGTAGTTTTCATGCTGACAACTACCTTTTACCTTTGGTTCAGCAGAGTCTGGCAACTCCTGACAATTAACATGTTATCATAAAGTGGTACCAATTTTCCTCCCCATAGTTTGAAAAAGCAGAAACATTATTCAAACTGAAAGAAACGCTTGTTCTCAGTTGGAAGGAGATCAAATCAATTTGTGAACTTGATCCCAAACTAAAATTCAACATTTGTGAATTTTCTGTTGGTTATTTCACAGTTAGTCACATCTAAAAAGACTTAAAATAATAACTTCAAATCATGAACACAGACTGAATATCCAGTGCAGCATTTGTGGGTTTTGGCTTCCTGTTATATGCAACATTTATTGGAATTGGAATTTTTTTTTTAAGTGTTAATTGTTATGGCAATCGTCATCATTTCTCATAATTCTAAAACCCATGGATAAGCAGTGTAAAAACTATTACTGACAGTTACCTTGGCGATGAAGTAATCCCAAATGCTGAGGTCTGGAGGGACAAACTGCTCTTTAAAGATGGAGGTGGCCTCTCTCTCCACCACAGGCACAAACATGGGGCTGGGAGGTCCTTCTCTCTCCATCGAAGACTCCTCCTTTGAACCACTGCGAGACGACAAGAGCCTGAAACGCCGGGACTTTCGCTCTGAGCCATCGAAACCTGGAGAAGCTAAAACATAAACAAGTATTATTTTAAAGGTGCTGTATTACACAAAATGGACTCCAGTGAGCTTTTAGTCATGCTACCTCATCGAAAACATACACAGAGTTGTGTTTAATTTCATTCACACATGTTTGAGTAATCCTGGTGTATTAGTCTGTCTAAATCTGCAGTGCTCAAATTGCTCTGTTCCACATTGTGATGTCATGAAGCAGTTTCAAGTTAACAGCTACCTTTTCCTTTTAGTTGATTAGAGATTGGAAATTCCAGGGCTGAAATCATCCAAATTCTAATTCTAGTGAAGGTGTATGGAGTTTAAAAACACAGTGGAGACTCACAAGCTTGAACACAGTGTTTTCCATTCAAGAGAAGAACTCATAAGACTAAATATGCAGGATTTTTGTTAAACAAGCGTGAATGAAACAAAACCCCAAGTATGTTTTTGATGAGGAACCAACATTATGACATAGATCAGAAAATAATGTGATGTGGTCCCTATAAGTATATAAAATTCACCATATTCAAATGCTATGCAAATTTCACCATTTTTTAACATTTTAAAACCCTTCCAAGTACAGCCTGGGTCCAAGTACTAGTGGCTGGGAAACACTAAACTAACCCTGTTTCAGCACATATACCGTATATTATATAGATGTAACAACTACCATTTTGAGGACTTTAAGATATATTTCTTTTTGCATAGTTAGTAGCTATGCAGCATCCTTTTTTCTGCTTACTCTGAAACCCAAATTATGGCCCAGGGCTTTTTTTGCCTTCAGGCTTCCTTGCCAATAGCCTAAACTGACAAAAGCAAACTTTTTTTTCCTACAACAATTTTAAAACTTCTGTAACATCATAATTTCAATCGCAGACCTGACAATATGGTTCCAGCTTCAACAGATGTGATCAGTCAAAGCTCTGCTAAGTGCACTCATTTGAATAATTCACTGCGGTGTTTGCCAAAGATTGCAGGGACTATGGTGGCACTAATCATTTTCATTTGAATAAATATATCTAATCTATGAGATGTACAAATGCCGTTTAAGGCCTATATTTATGCTATAAAGGTCCTATATTACACAAGCCATGTAATAATGTTGTGTTGGTTGATTCATACATGTTTAGGTAACCCTTTTTTATTAGTCTGTGGATATCTCCAGAGAGCAAAACACTCCACCTTTGATGTCATTTAGTGGTCGTCAACAGCTTCCTTTTACTTTTAGTTCAGCAGTAGACAATTCTAGGGTTTAAATCATCCAAATGATTCTAGAGAAGGTGTATGGAGTTTAAAAACACAGTGGAGCACTTCCTGTATTACTACATGACATCAAAAGGTGGAACAGAGTGTTTTTAGTTTGAGAGAAGAGCTCAACATAAATATACAGGGTTTGTGTGTTAAACATGTGCGAATGAAACAAAACACAGCTGGAGGTATGTTTGTGAGGAGGAACATAACATAGATCATAAAATAGCATAATCTAGACCCTTTAATGGGAAACACTGCACTGTAGTCCTCCACTTTATCCATGTATTAATATGACTTTTAATAATTGTGGGGAAAAAAAGGTTTTGACTAGGCTTGTCATAATAATTGGCCCAAGCCAGTAATAGAGCAACTGGCGAGGGCTATTGTTCTTCAGCCATTTCTTCTTTTCTACTATTATTTTTCCTTGCAAGCGATCGTGATTTTGAGGGCCAAAACGTCGACAAAAAGACCCCAAACCGGGTATGGGATTGACAGGTCTGGTGAAAAATTTGTTAAAAACGGGCATTGCAACAATGCCCAAAGTGACCTGACTTAACAGTGCCGCCTAGAATTAGACCGCTATGGGAGTGGGGACAAGAAAATTCTGGCATAGGCAAATGAAATTCGGGATAGTGATGGCGAACAATAAGACAAACCAAAAATTTAATTGGTGCATACCCCTATGATGAACAGAAAGTTGGCCATATTGTATACAAAATTTGCCACCATTCTGACTGCGTGTTTGTAAAACGCTACTAGTCCCTGATTTTTGGTCCAAATGAGCTCACATCTCACGTCACATCTAGAGCCAGGTACACAAAAAAACTTTTTTTTTACTGGTAGCACGCCGGGGAAAAACACCTTCATTTCCTCTTTCTTTGATGGTCAAAAAGCATGATGAGCAAAAAATGATATTACAAACAGAGGGAATGTTCTACGGTGGGCCAGCAGAGGCGCAAAGACTCTTGTGTAAAGATTTCAAAAAAAAAAAAAAAAAGATGCACTGTGTAAGGTTTCTGATGGAGGATCTGTGGGCCTGAGCAGCTGTCGGGAAGGGACAAAAGCATGCTTCTTTGTACTCTTTGTACTACTTTTCTTTGTAATAGCGGAGATATTTTTCTTGCAAAATTATAGAATTTAAGCTGAAGAAGGCTGAATTACGTACTAAAATGATAAACTAGAGGTGAAAAGTTTGTCATTGTCTAGCTTTTCTGGTGGAACGTCCGTCAAATACTTTTGTCAATGGAGATATTATTGCTTTGTCTGGAATGTTTTACAGTATGTTATTAAACCTTTCTATAGTGGGTATTTTTGAGCTATAAAACCACCTGAATAAATATAAGGTATTATACTATTTAATGTGATATTGTGAGACATTCCAGGCAGAGCAATGACATATCCACAGAATTAACAATTTTATACATTTAGAATACATTTTTTGAGATAATTCTGATGTGGTTTGGTTTCAGTTTTATCGTTTCTTGGCTATATTTACTTCATCAATATACTGCACTTCAAAATGTATTACTGTGACAGGCCTAGTTTTGACCTCCCTGAACTAAATCTTGCTTCATCAAGTTGTTTCAGTGTCAGATGCACAAAAGAGCAGTTGTGCCCAGGACCCTTTTCTTCACAGAGTGAGACAGATAATGCTGTGTGTTAGAAGAGCAGTGATCCTCCTAATGGGCTGATGGATTTCTCAATGACCCACAGAGGAGAGGCCAATTAATTTAGCAAACTTGATTTAGTTTAGCTCCTGGGTCACCTCTAAAAGGGACACCTCACACCAGGAGGCACTTACCTGCAAAGTCAGAGCAACAAGATCAAGCAAACTATTTTAAAACTCTACAAAAACAAGACTTTTACTGGTTAGAATTCAGAAAGTGCATCTTGGCTGCAGTAGTTGTAATGATTTTAAATTTAGCTAAATTTAGTTTAGCCAAGACTTGTCATTTTGGATAATTTTTCATATTTAGCTTTCTTAGTAAAAGAGGTTTTTGTTGGTTAAAAGGTCCTGTATTATACAAACTGCCTCTTGTGACTTTGTGAGTCATGTTATAATGTAGTTACCTCTCATCACACACCCAGAGTTGTTACGTTTCATTCACATACTTGAGTAATCCTTTATTATTAGTCTGTCTACATCTTCAAAGCTCAAAATGCACTGTTCCACCTTGTGATGTCATGAAAGGTAGATATTAACTTGAAAACTACCTCTTTACCTTTTGTTTAGTAGAGATTTGAAACTACAGGCCTGAAATAATCTAACTGATTCTGGTGAAAGTGTATAGAGTTTAAAAACACAGTGGCGCACTTCTTCTATTAAAACATCACAAGGTGGAACAGAGTTTTTTCAGTTTGAGAGAAGAAGTCAGCGTAAATATGCATGATGTTGATAAGGAAACAAAATTGACTGGAAAATTGAGTAATATTTGCCCTTTAAGTTTCTTGTCTTCTTACTTCAACTTATTACTATTATAACTTGAAATTAGATTTTTTATTTTTATATTAGACAATCTTGATCCCATTGATCCTCAAAAGAAATTACTTGGAAGCAGAAGCTCAAATAATCTAAGTCAAACCTAGTCAAAACCACCCTCATTCTGTATTCAAACCATATCACAGATGTTCTTTTATTACAGTGTGCATTAACCTGGTGGGGGGGTCCTGACTGGGCTGCAGACTTTCTCCCTCATGGGCGTCCGAGCTCCTCCTCCGAACACACAGGCCCAGAGCTGGCTGTTGAGCGGGTGGGCCATGATGTGGAAGAGCTCATTGCTGGAGTGGGTGGCCATGCCGTGCACAAACAGGCTGAGGTAGACTGCGGTCAGGATTTCACACAGAAGCACAGAGAGACCGGGCTGGCTCTCCTCCCCCGCAGAGCTCAGCACGCGGATTAAAGCGGCGATACCTGAGGGGGGACAGCACAGGGGATGACACAGAATGAAAGCGACACTACATCAGAAACTGTAGTAGTAGTAGTGGTGGTAGGAGTAGTAGTAAATTATAACAGGAGCAGTTAGTTCTTCTAATTAAAATGACACACACTCTGGATAAACAGTATTCCAGTTCATAGTGACATGAATTACCTGGCCACTGAGCAGGAGAGGTGTTGGGTTGAACAGACTCCTCGATGCTGACTGTTCGAAGGGTCTGCTTCTGGGACAACAAGATGCTCTCATACACAATCCCAGTGAAGGGGTCCACATGGCTGTAAAAAAACAAAGAATAGTAGTAGAATAATGAGTAAACTGTCTGTTCATGAGTTACAAGCCTCCTCAAAGACATTCATATTAGAAAAAAAAACATTTGAAGGGTAGTGCAATTTAGAAGATTCAGATGTTTGGACACACATTCATATTCAATCTTGTTATTCTTTATAATTGTTACTTTCAACATTTTAGGCACATAGGAAAACATCAAATACATGATGCCAGACATCTGGGTTTATGTAGTAAAACTAAATATATTTTATATATATTAAATATATTTTATATATTTTACATTCTAATTCCTCAAAGTAGCCACCGATTGCTTTGTCGCTAGTACTGCAAGTCTTTCATTCTGCTATTTATTAATTGCAGCTCATGATTTTTTAATAATACTGTAGATTTAGAAAAGTTTTTTGTTGTTTCAAACTGCTCTAGTGTTATTGTGTCAGTGGCATAAATTGGTAAAATATTATCGTTTACCGTCTATATTTTCTTCAGCAATATATCACATTTCCAAATGTGTTATTGTGATGAGCCTCCTGAAATGGTTCATTTCAAAGTTGTACCTTGACTGGGTCAAGAAATGCCAAGAGTACAAAGCAGTGGTCAAAGCAAAAATCTAAAATCTAAAGCAACTTTGAGTTTATTTTTTGTTTACTACATTCCATATGTGTCATTCATAATTTTGACGCCTTCTGTAAGAATCTGTAATGTAAATAATGATGGAAATACAGACAAAATAAAAATGTGTGTTCAGGCTATTGGGTGATTTCTGCTATTTTGAGTTAAAGATGCACTGTGTAACATTTCTAGTGGAGGGTCCGCCAGCTGCTTGTCTCCATGGAAATGTAATTGCTTTGTCACTAATGTTCCACAGTATAAATTAAACTATGATGAGAGAGACAAGCAGGTTACAGCACTACGCTACATTACAGTTCAGATCTGTGGAGAGTTGTCCTCAGAAGGAATTAGTGTATTTGTAAGCAATAAATGCTAGATAGACATGTTTAATGTCATACCATGGAATATTCCAGACAAAGCAATAACATCTCCATGGAAACATGCAGGTGGCAGACCCTCCACCAGAAAAGCTGTGTAATGCACCTTTATATTTACAGTCCAGTCAATATTACACTCCCCTCCTCAAGAACCATCACGCCAAACAAGTCTTAATTAGGATGTTAAAAGCCGGAGTAAAGTTAATTCAAAACGCCACATGAAGCCCATTTCTCAAAGCTGTTTAATGCATAAGCTCCTGTGTCAAATATCAAAGCACAACATGGAGCAAATACAGCCGCACGCCAGCTCAGAAAGTCCCTGCTGTAAAGGCAGAAAATCCCATAAAGGAGGAAACAGGGGCTCAATTTCATCAAACCTCAGCACTCCAGGACAGTTTATATTCTAATTAGCATCACAAAGACGGCGCTAATTTAGAAACTGCTGCGCTAATTAAGTTATGCAAGCTCTGAGTGAGAAAGTGCTCACTTAGCATGTTACTCCAAGTTACGCAATTTATAAAACCCAGTGGATCCTAAACCAAATACTGTCTCACATTTTTGGCTGTTTATTAAATCACACAAGTTGAACAAAAGTATACAAGCAATATGAATATGAATTGAATTTGACAACGAAAGTTAAAGGTGCACAATGTAGCTTCTCGGTCTGTATGGAGATGTACTGCTTTGCGTGAAATGTTCAACAAATACATCTTGCATTTATTTTTAATAGAATTAAAAAATAATAATAATTGAAAAACATGCATTCTTATATCATGAGCAGGGCCTCGTACCCTCAGATGTGACCTGTAACTTGACCTGAATAATAATAATAAATAGAGTAGTACATACCTGTACGTTTGTCCATCACATAAACACTGATAGATGCAGGCTGACAGAGAGGCAGCCAAAGTGTGCAGCACATAAATCTGAAAATAAACAAAACAACACTTTTTGGTATAAAATTTTAAATGTAAAGAGAAAAATTATTAATAAAATATACTGTACTCACCCTGTTATTGACCACATCCGGATGAGGAGGAGAGTCCAGTGCGTTGATGGTTTCTAAAATGTCATGACTGAGGTTGGTGAGATACACAAAAGGATTCGCCACCACTGTTTTAACATTGGACGTGCAGGCTACAAGGAGAGGGATGGAGGAGAGCGGAGGCTGGGAGCAGGGGGTGGTCACCGGGCGGGTCGTCTCATTCTGCAAGTCAAAAAAGACAAATCAATAAATGAAATTAAAAAGAAAATTATTTGTATTATTTACAGGGATGATTTAAAATCAGTGCAACTAATTCTATTAACATTTCACTTATGTATATGCATGTAGCACGTCATACTGCATTAAACATTTTTTATCCACTGGTCCCTCCAACCACCATGGATCACTCACATACCACATTCTTTACTTACTTCACATTATTCTACATACGGTAGGAAAAATGAGTAAAGTGTCTTGCCCAAGGACACCTCAAATGTACTGGTCATAGCAGAGATTTAACCATGAACCCTCTGATTTAGTTTAACCACTGACGGCCCAAATAAGCAAATACTAATAAGTCATCAGAGTAACCTACATAATATTTTCTTGTAATCATAATTTCCAACAGAAAATGTTATGACCTGGTGCGACTCCTGCAGCAGTAGTATGAGCTCCATCCTCACAGAGGCCAGTCCCCCGCCGTGGGAGCCGTGCAGACTGCAGTAACTCAGGAACATCCGCAGTAAAGGCTGGTTACTCAGCAGCCAGTGCCTCCTGCTCCTCTGAGGGGCACAAGCAGTACTGCCAAGCTGAAAATATATATATATATATATATTATTATTCATCAATTTCATTCAATTTCAAAGTAATTTCCCTTGTGGAGCAATAATGTTTGTCTAATTCTAAGTTGAATAAGTCGTGACTGGATTAATGGCAAAGTGGAAACCCCAAATTTAGAGTGAGTCAGCTTATAGAGTCCATCTTACATACAGTATTTGTTTCAATTTTAATACAGCTTCATTGTTTCAGTTGCAGTGCCCATTTTACACAATTTTCAGATCTATGTTAAAACACTGTTTCCTCTGGAAAAATGTACCTAGAGTTGAATTTCATTCACATAACACACAAACCATGCATATTCAGTTCTGAAAACACACTGTTCCATGTGGTAACATAGGAATTACTCCAATGTGTTTTTAAACTTCACACATAATGATGATTTCAGTGCTATATTGAACTAAAGGTAAAATTTAGCTGTTAACTTGGAAACTTACATCAGACAGAGTAATAAAGAATTAGTCAAATATGTGAATGAAGCAAAACAAAACTCCACGTATGTTCCTGATGAGGTGACAGCATTCTAACATGGCACTGTTGATTTTACATAATATAGGACCTTTAACGTGTTCGCTACTATCGTGTTCAATAATTAGATAGGGAAAAGCAGGATATTTTTTATTAAACACAATGTCAGTTTTGTTATAAATGACCCACCTGTTCCTCCTCCCCAACCCCAGAGAAGAGGCCTTCTCCCTGGACACACTGTTCTGGGAGGCTGGGTCTGTAACTGCAGCACTGCTGGAGAGCCACCACCTGTGAATAAGGACACATGCCAAGGATAAACATGACTCTGAAGTTACTCATTCATAAAATAATAATTATAAAATTGTGTGACTCATCATTGCAGAGAGAAAAAAGGGTGATTTTGTATGAAAATGTGGAATGACAGTTCCACAACTCATCCTTGTGAGAAGGACAGGTGACTCACACATTAAGTGATCCACAAATGCAGACTCAAACCCTCAAGTACAATGTCAGACATGGAAGTGAATCACTTAAAAGGTCATTTATTACACAAAATTAAGTACTTGAGCTTTAAGCCATGTTATAATGTTGTTACCTCATCAAAAAACATACCTGGAAATGTGCTTGTTTCATTCACACAGGTTTGATCTCCAAAGCTCAAAAGCTCTTATGACGTTATGTAGTGAGAGTTAACAGCTACCTTTTACCTTTAGCTCAGTAGAGATTGACATTTCCAGGGTTGAAATCAGCCAAATGATTGTAGTGAAGGTGTATGGAGTTTAAAAACACAGTAGAGCATTACCACCTGACATCATGGATCATCAAGGTGGAAGAGAGTTTTTATAATTTGAGAGAAGAACACTGCCTACATATGCAGGATTTGTGAGGTAAACATGTGGGATTGAAACAAAACACAACTTCATGTATGTTTGTGATGAGGAAGCAACGTTATAACACAGATCAGAAATGCATAAATGTGACCTTTGAAGTAATATTAAACAATGTACTTGGCAAAGACAATTTACTTGCAAAGACCACCTCTTACAAATAAGACCTTGTGAACATTCTGCTTTTAACAATGTATGTATTATATTCTATGATGAACTGTTTTGCGCACCCACCTCTCTTTCTAACCACTGGTATAGCTGATATCGTAGCTTCCCTCCGTCCAGCTCATAGCCTGTTGAAAGTGTGCGGAGCTCGTTGGTCATGATCTTTAAACAGGCGGTGAACTTGAGCTGCGCCGCGAGGATGTCATCATACGGTAGGATAAAGTCATTACTGTCCTCAGACTCTTCCCCGGGCACCGACTCCATTAAAGAGGACCCAGCATTATGTGTGTCCTGAAGCCAGAGCAGGGAAGAAATCAGGTTCATTTATTTATCAACTTTCTCAAGAAATTGTACCTTTAAAAGTAGTTTTATGACACATTCTATTTTACTTTTCAATAAATAAAATAACACTAATCTTATTCAATACATTAACACAACAAGATGACTCAGAAGATACTTTTACAGCATCAGTTATTTATGTCTATTTAAAAATGCCAGGAATGTTCCACAATATGTCATTAAACTCATTTATCTCCATGCAGACACCACCCACTTGCAGTAAGAATGCATGTTCTTCAGTGCATTCCTTAAGGTCATACCGGAAAATTCCATGCAAAGTAATACCATTTCCTTGGCAAGAAAATGGATGGTGGCCTCTTCACCAGAAAAGTTACAAGTCAAGTCTGTGGAGAGGCAGGCTGCCACACAGCTAGGGTACATGTTTTTCAAGGTGTGCTAAAAAAGCTGTAATTAAGTTAACGACTAGTTTTGGGCTGGAATCTCATATGGTGGAGGCTTAAAATGCGCATGGCAGGCTTTGATTGTCCCTAATTTCTGCTTAATTTGGTGGAATGATACCTGTTGTAAATATAAATTATAGTTTTGCAGCAATCAAAAAGCAATTTACGAAGACATCACAATAGGGAGAATTCTATCCAAAAGTTAGACACAATTTACACACATGAAACACATTTTTTAAACATGTTTTCAACAAAATAAAAGATGTTTCTTATAATTGTGTTTGTTAAATAATAATTTATGTGCACATAAAAGAGTTTGGCCCAGAGTACTAAATGGTTGCTAGATAAATTATGGTTAACTAGAAAAGCACTCAGAGAGCGCAGACCTCCGCCAAGGACTACCCCCATTTTTTATATAAATTGCGATAAAATCAGTCTTCTGGATCAGATCCAGATCAGCCTTTGGAATATGAAAGAGGAACCCATTGTCCATCCGTGAGTCAAATTTCATGGGGTTTGGTCAATAATTAACCGAGATACTGAGAAACAAACTTTTTGGCCCCATTTACCACAATGTTAACTAAAATTTCAAAGTGATCCAGAATCCAGGATTTCTTCAGGATCACCCCCAAAATGAAATCAGTTCTTCCTTTTCACATTTCCAACAAATCCTGAAAATTTCATCAAAATCGGTCCATAACTTTTTGAGTTATGTTGCTAACAGACAAACAAACAAACAAACAGACAAACGCCTGCAAAAACATAACCTCCTTGGCGGAGGTAATGATCTTAACTGTGTTTTAGTACAATCAGTAGTCTTGGCACTTTAAAGTACAATATTTGACTGCTCTACCCACCTCTTCCTGTACCACACTGTTGTTGTTGTTGTGACCCTTTTCCTCTTCGTCTCCCTCCTCCTCTTCCTCCTCTTCTTTATCACTGTCCCATTTGAGCTCCAGGGGTTCATCAGGCAGTGTGAGGGAGGGCTGACTCCAATCAAAACTCAAAACCGAGTCTGAATGACTAATGGAGCAGCTATCCGACTCATATCCATTGACCGCGGCCTGAGACCAGTCCTCTGACACATCCTTACTTTCCAGAGTTAGCTCCCTTCTTTCGGATCGTTTTCGGACTTTGGGCATTTTAGAGAGGACTTCCAACGCCAACATGGGGCAGCCTGTTTGTAGATGAGCGTATGCAGCAGTGAAAAACAGTCTTCGTTCATCCAGGCTAATGGAATCTGCCCGGCGACACTCAGCGGTCAGACCCACTTTGGCTTTATCAGAGGAACCGAAATGGCGGCGAAGAAGGAGAGGGTGTGTGCGGAGGTAAGTGTAGAAGTTGAACACGTCTGGGTTACATGCGGAGACAGTTTGAGGACTTTCTGTAAACAGAACAAAATAAGACAGAGAAATAAGAAAATGGGAGTATAATTCAGAGAACAAATTGAGTTTTTCCAAAGAACGTTAATAATAATATAATACATTTTAATTATATAGTGCTTTTCAAAAAAAACTAAGACAGTAATTGAAGGATAAGCTGATGAAACTGAAATGCTTTGTTCAATTGGATGTATTATGTTTTATTTTTATCTACAACCTCTGTGAGATTTTTTTTCTCATTTGTGCATCTTTGTGAAGAGTCAAAATTATTGTAAATAGACCGACACAAGAGGATAATCAAGTTCTGGGGTAAATTCATAAAGTGCTTAATCAACTGAGTGAAATTGTATAAACCAAAATTAGGATAAAAAAAAATGTATCCAACACAACAGATCTGACAAAACATATTTTTTTTTTACTTCAGTACAATTTAAGCAAGCCAAAAGGTGATAAGTTTGATTTAAGTAGCATGAACACATTCTTCGTCACTGTTAAATATCAATTATGGGAAACATGTAGCGGAGGGACATTAATCTTTGTTGAAGTTTAAATTATGAGGTCTCTAGTCAGTAAGAAGTTCATTTTCTCATTTATTCTCGAGGTTAATCATGCAGAAGATGGATTAATTAAACATCTCAAGGCCTGGGTTTAAAGTTGCTGCAATTTTCCACAACAGGATTTTTTAGAAAGATAAAATATAAAGTCAGAAATTCCTCTCTAAAATATGACGCTAGGTCACGATAATTACTATAGTGACTTATTGTTCAATAAGTGATAGATGGAACAATAATTTCTGGAGGTCAATATTTATTTTGTGTACCTTTTCTTAACACTAGTGGAAAAGTCTGGGTTTTTTTTTTTTTTTGCACTGTGCTAAGATTTGAGCTGAAGAAGGCTGAATTAGGAACTAAAATGAAAAATAAATTACTGTGTGTCATTCTGCTATTTACTGCTGCCCACCAGTATTTAACAATATTGTAGATTTAGATTATTATGGATAATTTTGCTTTATGGTTTGGTTTCAATATTATAGTGTATCGTCTACATTTACTTCAGCAACATATTGCACTTAAAAATTCGTTAGTGTAACAGGCCTGTATAATGCTTTAAATGTACCAGTAATTGTGCTAGCAGGCTGTTCGATCAGTGTGTCCAAGGCTCTGCTGTAGTCCTCCAAAACCCAGTACGCCATGCTCCTCAAGAACGGGTCCATGTGTCCACCAATCTGAAATGTAAAGTCAAAGGTAAGTGATTTTAGTGCAATAATGTCTGTTCTGTTTGGTAAGTGGTGGATCTATGTAAATAAACAGATATTATTGATTGTCTTAATAAGAAGAAGATTGGGACAAAAAGGTGTCAAAGCACTTTGCCATTTGGAGAGGCTGGAAAAGGCGCACACCCGCTACAACCACCTACGTTTCAGCCTCCGACGCAGAGACGAGAACATCACACCAGCAAGTATTAACATCAAGCACAAGTTAAATACACTTTACTGTACTGTCTTTAAAAAAAAACCATAAGAAAACAAAATGGCTTTGGCTTGGAAAGTATTGATGTTTTGCTATTCAATGAAAAGATAATGACTTTTAATGCATTTTTTGCTCTTTGGAAGGTTTTAAAGCTCCTACTGTACACAAAATTGACCCTCATGAGCTTTTAGCCATTTTATACTAGTTGTTACCTCATCCAGAAAGTACCCAGAGTTGTCTTTTGTTTCATTCACGCAACTTTAAGTAACCCATCTACATCTCCAAAGCTCAAAATGCTCTGTTCCACCTTGTGATGTCATGCAGGGTAGTTTTCAAGTTAACAGCTACTTCTTAGCTTTGTTTATGAGACATTGGCAATTCCAGGGCTAAAACTATCAAAATGATTCAAGGGAAGGTGTATGGAGTTTAAAAACACAGAGGAGCGCTTTCTGTATTACCACATGACATCACAAGGTGGCACAATCTGGGAGAAGAACTAAACACAAAATATGCAGGGTTTGTGAGTTAAACAAGGGTGAATGAAACAAAACACAACTTTAGGCATGTTTATAATGAGAAAACATATCAGAAAATAGTGTAATACGGGCCATTTAAAAAAAACTAATAGCAACTAACTTAAAAAACAAAAACAATATATTAACATTGTCCTGATGAAAATTACAGAATTACAGAATTGACAGCCAAGTCATTCACTATCTCTTTTTAAATATCTTTTCATCTCATCCTAGCAAAACAATTGTAGATCATTCTCTTGATGCACTGATACACAATTTTATTTATTTTTTCAGTTTTTTCACTGAATTAAAAATAATTTTCTGGCATAGGTTGGATCTAGGAACTTATTGTTACTTTTAGTACATTTTACACACCGTTCCACCATTTTAATTAGGCTTATTGATGGCGGAAATAAAACCTGTATAGGAACAGTCCCAGCAGCAGAAGGTAAAGCAGACGGTAAAAGCTAGCAAAATTGAATTGGTAAATAGAGGGTGCTATTAAACAAATGCTTAGTCCCTGCTTTTGTATTTAAAATATTTGTTACAACTGCAGTGATTCTGCCTGAACCCTTCCCAAAATGCATTGTGGTGTTTTATCTCTATAGCAATCCAACAAACTGAACAATGGAGAGAGACATCCTGCCACACCAACAAACAAAAGGGCAGAACCACTAACATTTCTCAGAACAGCTCTATTGCTTTACAACCCACTGTCTCCTCAAACAAACTTATCAACAAACTTAATAAAGCTTCCTTCCTGGTCCCTGTATCAAGAATTCCACCTTCAGGGAGAGACAAGACACACAGAGAGAAATAGTAGGACTAATTGTTGTAAATAATCTTCTGGTACTCCGCATATTCCAATCAAATCAAAATATTATACACATACATATATCACATGTGGTACCTAGTGCCTCCGCTCAATTTAATTTTTCTCCAGTGACTATGTCAGGAATCAGAATACACTAGACCCCGGAAGCTGTAGACAGCACACCGGTCAATGAGCAAAGAGCTGTGAAGCCATGACGTCAAACTCAAGCGCCTGTCTGGGTCCCTTTTGTGGTACAGCACAACAGTAAAATGTTGAGATGGATGTAGACAAAGTCATACATTTTGTGTTGGCAATGTTTCCCGAGATCGAGGATTTAAAGCCGCAACAAAGAGAATGTTTGGTGAACTTTATCAATGGGAAAGACATTACTGTCCTCCTTCCTACGGGATTTGGCACATTACATATGTCACGAAGAAAGAACAGTGATTGTTTAAATAAAAAAAAACTACCCGCCTACTGTCGAGTGAACAAATCATAATGCTGCAAGGTCAGACGGTTTCCACGAAGTGAAACCAGCAGATGAATCAGGCTAAAACAATATATTCTTACACAATCAAATGCAAATTATGTTTTTGTTTAAATATAAATCTGCACAAACCTGTTTGTCTTGCCCTAGAACATGCCTCTGTAAGATCTTCTTGTAGGTGGACGCCGTCTCAAACTCAGATTCATACAGTCTGGAGATCACCAGAGCCAGTTGTAAATCTTGCAATTTCTCGACACAAACCTGAAAGAAAAATCATTTTGTTAGTTTTCCTTTTGGCCAGTGAAAGAACACACAGAACACCCAATAAATCACATTAAATAACATTGCTTTAGTTGTTCTTTGCAGGCTATACAATGTGAGATGCATCTGAATGAAGCTACATTTAAGCCACAGGGAGAAAACAAAGTCACTGTGCTGAGGCTAATTTCCATAAATGGCCTAAAGGAAGGTCCAGTTTACTCACATGGTTAAAACAATAGAAGCCTAATAGAAGTGCACCAGAGGCAATATGGACAGATAGAAGCTGAGAGCATCAAAGGTTAAATCAACAAGATGACCTCATAATGTCCTTCAAAGGGCAGAATAATAATGTGCAATCTCCCTTTTTCAAAATGTGGCATCGTTTATAGGTTATAAATGTATTTTAAAAGCCAATATGGTCTGTAAAATGCTATGTATGTTTGTATGTTGGTATAGAAAGCATCACAGTATAGAATTTTAGTGTTATGATTATTGTGAGGAGAAACATTATGATTTTACAATTACTGATAGAATGGTCAAACAACAATGATCTTCAATACCACATTCACTTACATTGTTTAATAGAGTGTAACAAAGTATGTGAATAGCTACAGGCAGATAAAGAGCATTTTATTTTATGAGGGAATTGAGTTGAAACTAATTGCTTCTAAAATCGTATTATATTTATACATTTCTTTTAATTTTTTGTTCTCATACTAATATACTCCCCTGAATAGTGGTCATTATCAATTAACAAATTAAAAGATTCATTTTAACATGCCAAATGTCTGTCTGTTCCCCACTGCCATTATAAATACTTAATTAATTCCTAAAAATGAAAGCACAGTGTCATTGTATGCCAATCAGATACAGCTTTTAACATGCATTCTGCCAAGTGAACAAAACAAATATGGTAAAGGCTGTCAATATGATCCAGGAATTTTTTGTTTTTGTTTTACCATTATTTCTTCAACTTTAACAAATATACAGTACATGAATTAGGTAGCAGAGTAAAGCGTTCTATTGACAAGAGAATAAAATAGAAACGCACCAAAAATTTACTTATTTTCTCTATACCACCATTTGTCAAACTGTGGTATGTTTCAATATTTGTTTTATTTAGAGACAAATATATTTGTTTTTATTTTTCTTAAAAAAGTGCAATGTGCCGCATTTCTAATGGAGGGTCCACGACCTGTTTGTCTCCATGGAAATGTTGTTGCTTTGTCTAGAACGTTCCACAGTATAGATTAAACCAAACACAGGAGAGACAAGCAGGTTACAGCCCTATGCTACATTACAGTTCAGATCTGTGGAGAGTTGTCCCTATTCACAGAAGGAATTATTATGTTTTTGAGCAATAGAAACACCCATAATGAATAAACGCCAGATGGATATGTTTAATGTCATACCATGGAACATTACAGACAAAGCTCCATGGCGACAAGCAGTGAGACTCCACCAGAAAAACTGTGCACTGCACATTTAAGGTTTATCATTATTTAGAACTAACTTATCTATAGTTTAGTCATTTTAGAGTATGATTATTTAGTCCTGATAAAGTCCGGTGGTACTCAGAAAGCCAAATAGTATCTTGAGGGTGGTACTTGGTGTGAAAAGTTTGAGAAGCATTGCTCTATACTTGCCTCCACAGCGTCTTTGAGAGATCCAGCAAGAAGGAAGAAGGCAGCAGAGTGTTGGAACCGCTGCTTCCCCAGTAATGAAAAGGCATTCTTTAGAGCAGCCTTTCTCCACCGGTCCTCTGTGAAATTGTGGCTGAAAAATTCTGTCATTTTGAGATTCTTTTGAGATCTGCAGGGAAATAGGATAGTAGTTCAGTTTTCAGTACCCTGACAGGACACAATTTGTAAGTGAAAGCCACATATTTCTGCAAAATTCAAGTTAATATTGAGTTTTTGGTACCTGTATAAGCCCCAGACGACTGCCTTCTTTTTCATGGCAAGATAGAAAATAGCTGCATCCAGTGGATCATTGTTTTTCTGAAAAGTGGACTTGGCAACCTGAAAAAAAAAAAAAAACATAATTGAAAAATGAAATTGAGTATATTTTAACCCAATTACCAGCAATCTTTTGTAATGGATGTTCAGTGTTTTACAATTTGAGGAAGCATAGTGCACAGATGTGGGTTGTAATGACAAAATAATTATTCTCTTTCTTATAGTTATCACGATAAACAATTTTGGTGATCCAACAGAAATGTGCTAAAAGGAGTAAATGTATTCGTTGAGGTTTAGGTGAAAATATGAAATCACAAAAATGTTGAAAATAGCAGTATTTTCAAATAGAAATTTATTTAGTTCGTTCCATTTTAATCTTTTTAATGAGTTGTTTTAGCTATTTTTTTTTTAGATTTACCAGATATTCAAATTTTAAAACAGCATTTACAATACTATTGATAATTTAATACACTATAAAAAGTGCTATATAAAAATGTGACCATTTACCATAAAGGATTTCTCAGACATGGGAATGAAACAAAACACAACTCCAGGTATAAAAACATGGAAGAAGTGAGAGCTTCAGGGGATAGTATCTTAGTTCAAAGTCCAGAACAGGTGCTCCTCAAGCACAAGGCTTCGTCAGTGCATATCAGGGCATGCTATGTCCTGATAAAGCCACTACCTGTGTCGAAATGCGTAGGCTTGTTCCATATAATTATTAAAGGACTTTTTTTTACTTTGTATTCTATAAGTTTTTATGTTACAAGCTTGATCATCTTCACTGTCTGAGAACTCCAGGTATGTTTTTTGAGAAGGTCACAACATTATAAGAAGGCTAAAAGCTCACAAAAACAATTTTGTGTAATAAAGGATATTTAGTATCAATCAGAGGTACAGACCTTCTCGATACACCTGCGGAGCTTGTTGGTACTGCGCAGCCACCAGCCCACCCCCATGGACCTGAGCTCAGGCCAGGTAGGCTCATCCTTTTGTAGAGCAGGCAGCATGTTCAGCAGCTCCTCCTCAGCGTCTGAGTGAAAGGCCCACGCGTAATGGCAGGTGGACAGGCCTGACAGGGGGAAAAAGACCGTCAATACCCTATAGAATGACAACAGACAATACAAATAGTATTTTCCCTGTCTCTACCGTCAAAGTGCTTGTAGAAATTTAGATATCAGGAAAAAAGCTACTTTCCTATAGGGGTGCATTAACATAAATATTGCATCAAAACTGGGACTGAATTCATCAATCCTGGAGCACAGATCAGGACTAAACCAGGACAACAGCAGAATAAAAGTTAATAAAAGTCTTGAACTGAACAGCCAGGAAAAAAACAAGGTCACAACATCAGTCTTTACATGGCTGATGCAAGAAATTATAATAATTGCTGCTTTTGAATATATATATTGACAAGTATATTGTCTATAGACTTTGTATTTCAAAAACATCATGTTATAGTTTCAGGGAATTCCTAAAAATAAGACTCAAAATCTCTCACTCAAATTTTCTACCAAAGCATACCCTTTAAAGTGTTTTTTTTTTTTTTTTTACCTTGTCGTCGCAGCTGTAGTCTGTATGCAGGTGGAAGAGAGGTAGACAGGAATGTATGAAGTCTGACGGCCAATAAGAACTTCAGTCCACACTCATCCAGCGTCTCCCCTCCTGGACAAACATGACTTTGCTTATTTATTGATTTAAAACTAAATAAGTAGTATTATTGGAGTAGCATAGTATTATATATAGTATTCTTGTTACTGTGGTACCTTTATTCTTGTCCTGACAGTCCTTCAGGTCAGTGCTGGTGGTTGCTATGGTGTCAGCCAAAGCCATGAGGGACATCTGCTCCATTCGAGTGAGTCCGGGTAAACTGGAGTGGAGGAGGTGGCTGGACAGAATCTGAGCATGTTCTGGTCCAAAGTAGGTTGGACTGTACTGGGACAGGTCTATCACCTGGAACGGAACACTTTTTAGATTTCACTCAAATGTTCAATGTTAAAATGTTAGAATGAAGTAGCAATAGAGCTCACTGTGTTATGCTATTGATGACAGACTTTTGCAAATAAATACACACTTTTATTACCCATTGTTTTTGAGCATAACTGGCCTTTTCTGTTTGTAATACTGATATACTGTGCACATTACATTTACATACTTTATGGCGGGAATCTACTTTGTAACCGCAGATGCCCAGGGGCAAAAGTGAGGATGCCAATATGCACCATCAACACCTCCATCCACTCATTCAAACATCACATTCATACTAGGCAATGTGGGTGAAGTGTCTTGCCTAAGGACACAACAACACAATGCAGTAGAGCCACTGTTACCCCACCGTGTACTATTCCCAGTGGTCTCCCAGGCAAGTACTAACCAGGCCCCACCCTGACGAGATCAGGCATTAACAAGCAGGTATGGCCATATAATTAAACACTATACACTCCAAAATCAAATCAGACCTTGTTCCCAGTTTCCTCTTGGTCATTCTCCAGAGTGTCCAGCTCTCCTAAGGTGGGGGTGTGAAACAGCTCGTCGTAAGCGTCTGTGTGGCTGGACCCGTGCCCACTGTCTCCACTCACACTGCCAACTTTATCTACACGAGGCAAAACAAAACACACATTTCATTCACATTTCATTAGGACCATTTTCAAATGATACCTCTGATGTATTCTGATTCCTGTGTGCTTTTTGCATACAATTACGTAGTATAAAGACTTCCATCACCACATTCCACTTCTATTTTGATTTATCTTTTACCTCATAATGATGATGGATTTTATTTTATTTTGCTCAATTAAAACTGGCTTCAATGTGAATTCTCTGAACACAAAAGCATAAACAACACAAACTTTTTTCAGTGAAATTTAGAGGAACAAATTTGACTATTTTTCTGTGTTATTGTCTGTACTCTGCTCCAAACCACAAGCTTTTACTGGCAAAGGGTTGGCTCGGCAAGCTATTAATCGCTCTGTCCTCTTTACACTGCTCATATACACACACGCACACACACACAAACACACACCAATACACTCTTGGCACCACTTGTTGTTATGTTAATTAAGAGCTTTGAAAGAACTAGATCATGTCCAGATTTGTATGCAGCTCTAGTACAGACCCTTTAAAAATGTGTAAACAAAAACATTCTAAATTCCTTAAAGCAGCTGGAGGCAAAAGTGAAGAGCAACATAATATGATCTCAAAGGGGAAACTGGGATAAACATCAGAATATCACAAAATATGAAATATCAAGGGAGATTTGGCAAATAAACCACTCCAAAACATGTGAGTGATATCAGAGCCCAGTTAAAAAACATTTGCAATAGTGTACAGTAGTGTTACTCTATTTGTTAACCTAAAAATAGATTTTGAAAGACCTTAACCATTTTACCAGAGCAAAAATCCCAGATTTTTAGGTTTTATTTGACAAGTTGATCCCTTTACAGTTTACATATTTAATCATAAATTATACTTTACTTACTATACTTTATGAAGCTCAAATACAATTTTGAGGTTAGAACATTTTATGTTTCCATCGTTCTTCACAGAAGTAAATTAACTAATGTGTACCTTGGAAATTCAACATTATTATTTATTTTTTGTTACAATGTCATACGCTCATTAGCATTTAGATCTGCTCATTGGTTAATTATTGAAAATATATTATGTCAGCTTCACTTTGGCTCCATTTGCCTCCATTTCAGAATTTTGAACATTCTGATGGGATTTTAAAAAAGGTACCAATAGGTATTAATCAAAACAGTATACACGCTGTTATAATTTAGTGCAGGTTGATCCTCATACACACCCGGTTTCTGGGCAGTGTCCTCATCAGCTGCCAGTAGAGCATACAGAGGCAGAGGAGGCACAGAACTGATCTCGGTGTAGTCTGGAGACGACTTCTCACTTTGACTAAAGATCTTCAAGTCTCTGGCTGTGCTGCCTCCTGCACTGATGGTCCGAGAGCGCACACGTTTCTCTGGATGTGTGTCTCTGTCCTTCAGTGACACAACCTCTCCTGCAATGCACTTCACCAGATGTGAGAGAATGGCTTTGGCACGGTGGACCTAGAAACAAAAAATACGGTATTAAAACTTAATTTGCACAAACAGAAACAGCTTTTCCAATAATGCAATAAACGAGCGTAACTATCTCCCAACTGAACTAAAAATCCAAACAAATAGTTTATACTTTGCAGTGACATCATGCTGGGGGTGTTCTACATGTATGTGTATCAGTGGAATGTTCAGCAATTACCATGGAGGCTCAATGCACATACTATTTAGAGGCTAAAAATTCTACAAAAAATACAAAATTGATTTAAACAACACATTTTCAGGAGCCTGTGATCAATAAGAGTGTTCATGATCTTGTTTAGCTGTTTGATTGAACAAAAAGGTGAGAGTCACTAACTGAAAAATACTGAGAGGCACAAATCAGCTCACCTGTAGTTCCAGCTAAACCAGTTTTTACGGTTAGATTAATAAACCTCAGATTAAAATCTAACAAAGGCTCAGACAGTGCATACCTACAGTTAGCATCACACCCCAGGGAATATTGATGACACCAGCTGCAAAGAATCAATACAACTTTTTCTGTGGAACTTTAAAAGTGTTGGTGGAATAACTAAACCTTGCCAGCACTGATAACAAGGTGCAATACCACACACTTTTAAATGTACAGTATGTAACACTAGTATATTGTATTTTTTAAAACTATGGACTGATGTAATAATGAAACGTAGAAATGACAAGTTAAGATGTATTTTATAAAGATGAAGTCAAATCATGATTGGTTTTGTAAATCTAAAATGCTTATTGCTGAGATTTGTGGTTGTATTATACATGTGTGATATCATGTGTGGACAGTGTAAATTGTACTTAGTGTTGAGTAATTCATTATTTCAATTTTATTTTATTTTAAATTATTTTAGTTTTTATCTATCGTATTCTTGACTGAAGATAATAGCATTGTACAATTTATTTCTGTAAATCAGGGACTGCAGATGGAAACTAGCTGTTTAGCTCTAATCTGGTGCAGAACATCTGTTTTTATTATCTTAATGTCTCTGTACATCGTCCCTTCAAATAAAGACTAATTTAAACTAAAAATAGGGCTGCATAATATACTGCAATCAAACAAAAACACAATTAGAGTTGGTACAAATATCAAGTTGCAAAGGCTGCAATTATTTAGACAATAGAATAGCCTCTACAAAGAACAGAAAATAATTTGTTTTATAGAAAAACATTATACGTATAATTCTGAAATTCACTGTATTATTGTATTAGCACTCTGAACAGAATGCTACTTTTGAAACATATATATCACAATTGCAATCCTTGTCGGAATAATCGCAATTTTATTTTATTTTTTGTCTTAAAACTGTGCAGCATTAAGTAAAAGGGCTGCACAAACAAAATAAGAAGATAAGAACATTCAAAACTACTGCCTTGATAACTCACCTTCCCTAAATCCATAAGTTCCAGTAACTGAAATGGGTGGTACTGGGGCAGAGTGGGGAAGAGGTTGTGAGCAGCTTCAAAGAGTCCTGAGTCCTCCATTTCAACAGGCAGATCATAGGCAGTCTTTTTCCCACTGAGTTTCTGCGCTAAACTCATCATTGATCTCATAGACTGCTTTTTTGTGAAAACTGAAGATGGGGCGAAGGGAGTTGTAGCTGTAGTTGACTCCTCTGTAAATTGCCGGACAGCAGAGGAGATGGAGGAGATGCTGCTGCTGATGTCTGTGTCTGGTATAGTTAACACTGAAGGTTGCGGTGGTTTAGGCGGTTGCCATTGGGAGTAAACATGCATTTCACAGTCCATTCCCAAAACTAGGATCCCATCTCGAACCCAGGATAGAGAGACAGGGATAGGTAGTGTGCCCTCAACAGAAGATACAAGATTCACAGTTCGAAGTAGTACCAGTTGAGATAAACAGTGGTCTTTGCTGCCATAAGATGAGAGACCTAGCTCGGGAGGTTTACCAGCCAAAAGTCCATACATAAAAATCTTTGTTCCTATACCAACTGTAAGAACATGCGATCCATTTTCCTGTGAAACCCAGTCCATATGAACCAAACTTTTACCAGACCATCCATTACAATTCTCAGCAGGTATAGTATAATCCATGGTGCAATTTGGGAGATTTTCAGGTGTGATGTTGTTAATGTCATTGGGAGTTAAGGGGTCCACATTGTCCAGGACTATGGTCTGTTCTAGGATCCACTGAGCGCCTCCTGTGGACTCACACTGGAAGATGCCAATATGGACACTGGGAATTTTGTTGTTGGTAACGTGTGGGCTGGGAGGGGCATTTAGACTGTGCTTGATGGTAAGATTTGGAACTAAGTGCGTACTGTTGACGTGAGGATGCGGGGAGGACATTAGAGAGGGTGGAGTCAAAAACGTGTTTAAACTGTGAAGAGGAGCCGAGTTTAGAGGAGAGTTTGTCTTGTGTTTGTACGCCACAGCTATCCGCCCTGTGTGGCAGCAGCTGACCTCAATGGGAGACCCCGGTAAAGTGACTGCGCTGTTGTTTGGAAGATCTTGTTCTACTTGCAGAGGCCACTCCTCCCACTGGTATTGCTGCTCCTCTGCCCCGGGGGTATCAGAGGGCGTAACACTGCACCTCCAGAATCGAACTGTCCCATCAGAGCAGGACGTGGCAAGGAGGTAAGGCACACCACCCGCAGGCAGTGAACAGGATGCACTGAGGTGACCTGGGGGAAGCACATAAATACATAATAATCAAATTGAAAAAGGCAGAGCGGATATAGGATTTTATTTCATATTTTATAATCACTGGCATTGCCTATCTGTATTCCAAGTCGCCCTGTACTAAATATCAACACGGTACTATATTGTTCTTCTAGGCAATTTTGCATATTGTGATACTTTTATATAAATTGCCAAGAACATTTGTTGCTGCTGGCTCCTGCAATAAAGGCTGAATCTGCTGAGTTCAAAAAGCAAGTTATTCCTGAATCAATTATGTTCCAAAACACAAGAGGAAATAACTATTCAGAAAACTTTTCATATAAACTTCTATTATATTGCCATATGGGGATCTATGGGGTATCCCTATATGACCATACTCTTTTCAGTTTAGTTGCTATTTAGGGATATTCTCATCTTTGACCACCAAGAATACACTCATGTTTAGTGTATATTGTAAGGTGTGCAGAAATATCATTTAATGTGATGATATAGTATTGATATTGTGAGCTGCTGTATTGATATATCGCCAAGAGTATTATTTGGTACATTTTACTCAATTATTTTGTTACAGTGCTACAGTTTTGTTGCTTGTTCAGAGGGAGGAAACTTGTTTATGCTACACATTTGAATATAGTCACTGTTTTGATGATTACAATGGGTGTGTTTCATATTCATTTTGCACAAGAAGTGGTTTATCAAAGATTTTAGTATCACAGTCATGATTTTGCCATAATTTTGTTTTGAACCGTATCAAATCGATTTGAAATGTATCAAACTGAAAGTGCACTGTATCGAGATTTGTATCGTATTGGCAACTTCTTAATGATACCCAGCTCTAGTATATCGTACCTGCTGCCGGCCTCACACTGATGGTCTCCACTCCCACAGGTAGGGGAAGCTCTTGGCTGTAGACCCTCTGGGAGCTGAGGCTGAGGCGACAGGCGCTCTGCAGGTTTGAGGTGCACGATTTACTCTTCACTGTCACTGGAGGACACACTGAATCAAAATTAAACTGGGAGTTGTTGGTGAAGGAAGATTTAGACGGGTCCTTCTCTGCATTTGTCTCCTCTGTAAAGACACAAAGAATAGAATTAGGGCTGAACAATTTGGGAAAAAATATCCAAGCATTGCAATAAGCTTTGTGATTTATGTTTTAATAAGGATTTAATAGGATTTTGTTCCAAGTTTGTTCCAAGTTCTCATTTCTCTCAACACATCCAAAAGAACTGACTGAAGAGACTGAAATATGTTTGCACAGATTTCAACTTTTTTTTTCCAGATTCTATAATGGAGTGCAAAAGGCAGTTTTTCCTACAGATTACATTATACTTTCCCATCAAATATCCAAAATGTAAATTCATAATAGTTGACCCTGATAGTGACGAGACCCAAGATCTCACTATATTATAACAAAACCCCACATTTTAACAATATCAATTTTAGCTAACTCCCATCTTTATGAAATATTTTTGGCCTATACATTGTTGTGATGTCTTTTGAATCCCAGGAAAAGAATGAACAAAACTATGCAATACTGACATAATACAAACTGGGAACTGTACTCACCCATACTGACAGATAGAGCATTGAGACAGAGATGCCACATGTGGAGCAATGATCTCCCTGTCCCTGTTAATTCTACCACCACCAGGAAAAAACGGGCTGAGAAGAGTGGAGGACTGGAGCCTGCAGAAAAACATAATGCAAAAACACAGCTATGACATAACAGGCTGCATTCAAGTTACATCACAATATTCAAGACTGTCTATCTACAGTTTCAGAAGGTTTGAAAATTGGGACTAATGCCATAGTGCTTAAAAATTTAAAACATAATAAAAAGTCTAATCCCTAACAAATAATGATAAGATTTAACATATGTGATCATACATTTCTCCTAGAGAATTACTAAGACCAACACACAAGAAAACATGAGGCGCCACGATGTGTCATATGCTGCGCGTTGTACCCACGTGTCAACACACACGCTGAACTTCACGTCTCTTAAAAAGGCTTTAACATAACTTTTGCTGTGTTATAAAT